TTGGCCTCGGTGACTACGTGTGTATGGGGGGCAAATAGTGAGTGCCGCGACTGGAACAATTAAAGATAGGACGGGAAACTCGAGGGTATGACAAGTGCGACGTTGGCGAAAAATAGTTAGGCGCGCAAGTTATTGAAGTTTGAGCACCTAACTGGGGGCAATTATTGGGGGTGTTTAGATCTGAGAAGCCCACGACATAAGAAGAAGCCCAGTTGGGGGTGGTTGGATCTAAGAAGCCCAAGGAGGAGCGAGGCCCGTGTTACTAGAAGGAGCCCAAAGGCGTGCGTAAGAAGGCCCATTGGATGATTTCCGATGCCTGGCGAATAAGGTAGGTGGGCGCGTTAGTCCGGGCGCCTAAAAAGGAGATGGTGTGAATAATCATCTACTAGGCGCCTGGTGTGTATTTGGTACACTAGACGCCTAGGATGGTGGTACGAAGCATTAAATGCGGTGCTGACGTGGAGGCCCGTACGTAGGAGTCTGGGTGAGCGATGAACAGTTATAAATATGGTCGGTTGGTAAGCATTTAAGCATGTTGGCTTCTCTCACTAAACTTTAGAGTAAAACTCTTCTCTCTCTAAGAACGACACTGATTTGAGCGTTGGAGGATTAACGGGCCACAAGGCCCACCTCTGTGTGCGCGCAGGTCAGGGCCCACATCGGGGAAGCAAGGGGGAGTACGGAGGTTAAGGCGGTCGATCAAGTGGGCTTCAACACTACTTAGGGGTCCTTTGGAAGTTGCGATAGTTTTGTTGAGATTGTCATTATGCATGTATTGTTTACAATGCATCGTTTTTTTGTTTTTTTAGCAGAAACAATACATTGATTGTTTTTGTGATGTGACAGAAACTATCACTCATTTTGAGTGATTGTTATATCTCAACTTTTAGTTGTGGTTGTTGAGATAGTTGAGTTGAGATTGTTTTGTCTCAGCTTTTAGCTGATGCGACATACACAATCACACATACCAAACGTTGTATTCTACAATGCATCAAATTAGACAATACATGTATAATATTATACATGCATTCTCAACAATACATCTATTTAACAATTGCAACTTCCAAACGACCCCTTAATTATTATTCAAGTGAAAACTCTGATTTTAAGTTTGAAGGGACAATCTTCTCTTTTTCAAATGAAAGTGTGGATTAAGTTTTTTAGGGTAATGTCTATTTTTTAGCCAAATTTTTTTCAGATTCTTTTATATTATCCAAACCTAGCGAAATACTAAGAGTTAGTCAAATGTTAACTTTCATTTAGCAATTGTGTTAGTAATATTGACTTGGCAACATGATACTGACTTGAAAGAGACACATGAAGGTCACCATTGCAAAATTTTAATATTTTAACTAAGAAAAAAATGACAAAATTATTAACGATAACGTCAAAATCGCTAATATTTTGATTCATTACGAAAGATTTGGCTAATCAATAACATTTTAATATGTGAAAATTTAGATAAAAAAATAGGCATTACCCTTTTTTTAATACCTTTTTTACTATATTGGAACGGTGTATTGGTTGTTTTGTTTAATTTATCTAATTTGCCTTGTTTGCGGGATGGAAAGAGCTACGAATGTGCTTGTATTATCTCACTCATAAAGACAGTAAAATTCATTTTTTCTTCTCGTCAATTTAGCATATTTTTCATTCCATAATTCATATAGGGATATAAAGTAGGAGGAATTTTACAATGCTATATAACATTGGTGCTATAGGTTTTTGCCATTATGATACAACTTGAAATTGTACCTTTAACGTTATGGTACAACTTGAGATTGTACATATACTTTTTGTACAAATTCTTTTACGGTACAACTGAAACTTGTATCTTATGTGATGGTACAACTTCAAGTTGTAAAGTTGTACCATAACATAATGATATAAATTCCTTTATGGTACAACCTAAACTTATACATTTAATATTATGCTACAACTTCAAGTTGTACATTAAAACGCCAATGCTATATAGCATAGTAGAAGTGCTCATAAAGTAGCTCTCATTCATCGTCTTTCGTCTCTCCCATTGTTCTCTTCTACAATCGGCGAATAGCTGACCAATTCATCGATTCTTGTTGTATTACCTTTGATTATTTCGTTGGAACTCAATCCAACATGTTTGTTATTCTGTGGACGCCGCCACCATGTAGTTTCCTTTTTCTTTCTCCTTCTTGGACTCCTTAATTTCATTTTTTAATAAATGATGTCGTTTCCGAAGTTGAAAGAAGTTATATACCCACCAAAGATATCCTTAATTTCATTTTCTTAATACATGTTATCTTTCTTCTTCTTGTATTGGGTATATAACAGTAATAATTTGATTATATTGAGATTATTTTTATTGGTTATGAATTTTGAATTAGATTTGTACTTTTTTACTAATTTTGTTCATTGTTAAAAATCAATTTGTACTTTCTTGCTAATTTGGTTCACGACTAAAGAAAATTTTCTCCATTTAGAATACAGTTCATTTAAAATACCGTTCATTTTAACTCGAGTAAACATATAACTAGGAGTTTAATTACAATTATAAAAATATCAATCAAATAATAATCTTTTATTAGGTAATCCTAACAATTAGAGAGCTTACAATAAACAATTTTTTTTGTGTGCCTTATCATTACACCCAACGTGGTGTAGACAAAAAACGGAAAGAGAAATAAGCAAGATGAAAAAATTAATTACAATAAATGATGATAATTAATTACGTTTATACTTTCATCTTTCTTATTGGGGTTAGACGTGAGTTGATCCCTTTGTATTGGGGTGAAGAAAAGAAATAAAAATAACGAAAAACAAAAAAAGTACCCGCCCAGCCCAGCTTTCCCTCCGATTTGGAGGGGAGCTTTGAACAGTAAATTTTTTTGCCACTTTCCTTTTCTAACTACTGTTTCAAACATAAAAGAACAAGATAAAGTTTCTTGGAAATGACATTTTCCTTCCACCATCTCCCCTCCCCTCCCCTCCTTTTCCCTCCTATAAAAACACAAGTGTTAGAAAAAAAAAATCTCACATATTGAAACTTTTTTATTCACTCTCCTTAATTTTATTTTTTAATAAATGATGTCACTCTTATAAAAAAATCTCACATATTGAAACTTTATTATTCACTCCCCGTGTTAAAACTATGTGCATTAGCTTAAGTTATCATAATAATCCATGTCATATACTTTTATCAAGTGTTATCATCCAATCACTCATTAGCTAACTCAACTCAACCCAATAACTTTGAGATCACCTTTGACCGAATTACGCGACCAGTGAACGAGCGAAATTAACTCCAGCCCGGTCCACATTATGCTTACTGTCATAACCAGGCTGCTCAATTAATACGATATTGTTCACTTTGCGCTAGCCCGCACGGTTTTACTCATAGGTGCCCTCCCCAAAAAAACCTCGTACTAATTGGATTAGGTGGACACTAATATACAAGGGTTCCTTCCCTTGTATTACCGATGTGGTACTTGGATTGTCCTCATAACAATCCTCCCTTCAAGCCAAGGACCACGAACTTTGTGTCATCCCCTCAGCGGTTATCTTGATCCGCCAGACACCTTGTATCGATGAGATTCTCAGTACAAGGACTTTACCAGACGCAGAACTCTCTTTGATCTGCTCCCAAATGCGGAACTCTCTTTGATCCGCCAAGACCAAACGTGAACTTTGCCAGACGCAGAACTATCTTTGATTCCGCCAAGGCAACGTTGATCTCTCCTAGATCCACCAAACAAATGCGAATCACCTTTGACCCGCCAGACAAACGCAGATCTCAAACCCCGAGGTCACCGAATGAGGGTAGGATTCCTTCACATGTATTACCGAATATGGTACTTGAATTGTTCTCGTAACACTTACTATACCTTAACTCACTCATGACTTCATTGTCTTACTAACTCCATTATAAAAAAAAACTGAAACTAAATTACCCCCCCCCCCCGCTCGATCACAGTTAGGACTGAAAGTTTGGTACCGGTATTTGGGATATACCGAATACCGTACCGAATTTGTCTATATTTGGGTATTACCGAATACACGTATTATTTTGTGGGATTGGGATTGAGTTTCAATTCTTATTCGGTATTAGGGATTACGGGATTGGGATCGGAATATACCAAAATACCGAAATATAAGCTAGTGTGTATTTTATCCTCTCAACTAGACTCTCTCATTCACTACTACACGACCCTCAACCACCAAGAGTGTCATTTAATTATACATAGATCATTACATCACTATTTCACACTAGTATTAGTCGTCTCTCAACCTTAAATTCATCAAATTAAAGATTATCAATTATAAAAACTTGAGATGTTAGCTCTAGGCAACTCAAGACTCTTTGCTTAGTCTCTTTAACCTAAATTAAACAATAAAATCTCATTTATATATTTAATTATTAATTGTGAAGGTAATTAATTTTGTATTTGATAATACCGATTGGGATACCGAGGTACCGATTGAGATACCAAAATTATTTAGGAATTGGAATTGGGATTGATTTCAGGGTGTAATTCGGTATTCGGGATTTCAATATTTGGTATTGGGATACCGATATCGTACCGATTTCCACTCCTAATTACAGTCATACTCCATTATGGATTACCCAATGTGTTCATCATATCGATTGGTGGTGGGATCGGCCACAAAGGGCAAGGCAGTTTTGGAACAAGATCGTTATCATGTGTTGCTATCATCTTTCTTGTGCATGGAATCCCTGCCTCGTCGTTTTAGAACGAGACAAAAGGACAGCCCACGATTCGATACACAGGTGTTTTGTTCCTGGAGGGAAACAAAATATATACAACAATGGAAGAATGTTCTCTTCCCAATTTTCCCATCAATCAATCATGGCACGTAATCTTGCCGATAGTACTGTATATAATGTTTTCCTTTTGGTTTTTGTTTTGCAGGCAACCATATTCGGTGATCACTGCACAGCTAGCTGTTCTCTCTCTCTCCCATTTACCTTGTTGCTATATACATACATGCAAAAGCTTGACATGATCATCTTTGATTTACTAGGGAAGATATTTCTGGCATTATGAGTTGTAGCTCTACGAAGTGTTAGTAAATTGTATATGTAGATATGATCATCTTTGATTTATCGGGCATCCGCGGGTTCATTAGTAATCATAGGTTTTTGTCGTAAAAAATTTATAATAACAAGTTCCTATCAAAATAAAAGTCAAATATCAATCTCTCAATACAAATTATACATATATAAAACATTATTCTAGAAAATTCAAGCAAATCACAAATGAACCATACAAATTGTTCAACACCAATATAGAAAACTCAAGAAAATTGAAGCAAATCACAAATTATCCATAAACAACATGATTAATTGAAAACTTCTTCCTACTTGTAAATTAAACTCCTTCACTCTCCACTCTATAATATCAACTTCATTCTACACAATTAGAAAGAAAAAATTAGACATGTCTCCACAAACATAAAGAAGATTAGTTGCTTTGAATATTAAATATACCGGGAAAATTAATTATATGGGTGTCGACGGGTATACCTAAACCCAGACCCAACGTCCCAACCCAATGAATAGTGAACGGGTTTAAACCCGAACCCGGCCCAAAACCCGTCAACAAGGATTTTACTCGCGTTGATCGGGTTGGGTCGGGTCGGGTACCTGTGAGTTCGGGTTATGTTGCCATCCCTAAGTATATGATCCCCATCTGACAGCGAGAGATATTCTGTTGGAATCCCAATAACTCAATTTGTTTCTGTTAAGCACATGTTGTCCGAACCTATGCAAACTTCAAGCCCATATATGGTGGCTTTCGTTTGAGGGTGTGTGTTAGTAAATGGTATATGATCCACCATTGAACATCTCCCAATAGCTCGAGTTATTGGGACCAACTGGCTCTAGACATGGTATCAGAGCCTTCTGTGACCGAATGGTCTTGTGTTCAAATCCCGATAACCGCATTGGTAAACACATGGTGTCTGATGCTACTGGATTCTTTGTCAGAAAACGATGAAAATGATTAGTTTTGGATTAAGGGATCTCCCAACCAACAGCTCAAACTGTTTGAGATGATGAACCGGTTCGGGAGACGTGAAATTTGAGCTTTTGATGAAGAGGTTGATCTCCTAATTCAAATCTCCGTCGTTGTCAATATTAATCGTTTGATTAAGAAGATGATATATGATTGATTTAATTTATATAAATTTTAATTCATGAATTGCCATTTTATGTGAAAAACATGTGTTAGAAAATGATACAATAAACCAACTCGAGTTACTATTCTTACATAAGAGGAGACAACAAGTATTGTACTATTTGGAATAGGATTAGGTGCTAACTCGTTAAGGAGTTAGCACTATGCTAACTAATTTAGTAACCTCCGTGCAGGTTACCGCCTCCCAACATACAAGCTCTTGATGCCGCCGCCAAAGAGTTCTTTCACCTTCAACCAGACATAACATGAAGCAAACCCCAACCGAGAGTAGTGATTTTGATTACCAATAGTATTGACTTTGATTATTCTTTCTGATTACCAAGAGTAGTGATTTTAATTACAAAGAGATATGCCCCTGAAGGCAAATCCCGTAATCAAATCTGCATGCGCCCTCCCCCTTCCTGTTCTCATATTTGCGTTGTCAATTGTAAAGATCCGTAGCGATTTCCGATTTTGATTAGTAGTAATAGTGTAGTAGTGTTTCTTATATGGATTAGTAGTAATTTGATTGTAATGAGAATTGATTTTTGTAAGCTATTAGTATTATTCTGTCTACTTATTGTAGTATTTGTTAATTTGTAGTGTTTTCTTCATTTTTCAGTAGCGATTCTTATTAAAAAATCATCAGTAACCACTACTTAAAATTGTTACTAGTAATAATAAAATTGCTAGTGAAAATCATGAAATCACTACTAAAATTATGAAATCACTACCATAAACCAAGAAAATCACTATCTTAAATCACTACTAATTTAAATATTAATGGTTGCAAATATTAATAGTAGTAATTATTTTACGGATGTCCAACAGAGGGAGGACAGAGAATTTTAAAATTTTTAATATATTTATTGAAATTTTGCAAATACCAAAAATACCCTTCACCTACTCTCCACCTTTAGGTTTTATTTAAAATAATGGATATTGATTAAAATAATTAGTACGGTGCTAACCTCAATAAAGTTAGCACCCTAGCCGTTCCCTATATATTTTCTTTAATTGAGAGAGTAAGGGATCGTTTGCATCAGTCATTTACAAAACGAGTCATTTGTCTAAATGTAGACATTTGAGAAATGTAGATATTTGGGAATGTAGGCATTACAAATGCATTGTTTGTTTAAAAGTTTTTAGATGAATCATTTTAAACGAGTCATTTCTATAATGTTACCATTTGCCCTTACATTTAATATGTTTTGTTATTTTGTTTCCTATTCTAATGAAACCAACCACATAAACAAAATCATCTTGCAACCAACAAAACATATTATTTGGGTGTTTACCATGTATAATACTACTTTCTAACTTTAAATAATAATTATATGTTGACTTTTTTTTTATAAAAGATAACGCCTCCATAAGTCTTGAATTTTAAGCTAATTACAAATGGTAGTGTTTGTGAACGGAAATGATGTGCCGTTACATAGATGACTCTTCGTCCCTAATGAAATTTGGGAGAAAGAAAAAATAATTACGAGAGGAGACGGATCAATGACATAGAAAACAAATAATAGAAAGAGAAGGATAGAAGTGGGTTTACATAAAATAGGCAACGACATTATAGGAACATTTGGACTAAATAATGAGTTATTTGGAAATGACTCAATAGAATCATTTGGGACTTTCACATTGACAAAATAATTCGTGCGTTTTTTCTTGGCAAAATACATTTCGATAGCCAAAACTTTCGCGTTTGTGACAATAATAGCCGATTTTGGAGAAATACCACTTATAGCTAGTTTTTGTAATTGTTGTATGACAAATCTAGCCATTTCCGTTAAATACTTTAACAGTGGTAGTGACACCGTCAACTTTTTTGACGGTTTGCTGATTAGGCTCCCACTCAACACACACATAAGCGCCAGATAAGCAAAAAGTGACACGTCATAATTTAAATTTATTTAATAATTACACATCATAAATTAATAAAAATATTAATTTATTTCCCCACCCTCATATACCCCATATATGTATTTTTCTTTAAAAAATGTATTAAATTTGTACCCTTTCTGCACCGGCGATTTCTAACCATTTATAGAACCCAAATCCAGCTTGAAGTTTCAATCTTCCAAATCTTTTCCAAATCTCCAAAAAATTCTCATTCCCATATCTAATCCAGCGACCTGGGTCTCTCACCCATCCATTTCAAGGTTCAAGCACTTCACACTCTGGCTGTCACCCAATCTGTTTCTCTACTGCGCGCAACAAGCCCGCCGGAGCACACATAACTGTAGCGATTTCACAGCTGCGGCCGCCACCTGTAAATCTCAAACTCAAGAGATAAACCCGACCGCGAGACTCAGGTCGTCGGATCAGATCTGGGTTTGGATGTGGAGTTCCTTTTAGGGTTTTTAGTTGATTCCGGGTCTCGGTTCGCCTTCCGCCTTCCTCCGCGAAACCCACCCACAAATGCCCGCCACTGCCAGACCCACTAGGCCTTACTGAAATTCAAAATCTGGAATCGCTGAAGAAGGAGATGATGGCCTTGGAAGGGGTTAGTGCGGCGGAGCTCGGGGAAGAAGGAGACGATGGCTTCGTAATTGGAGAGGTATACAAGAAGAATCGGAGAATAAAAGGAGGAGGAAGAAGGAAGAAGGAAGTTGAATGGCGGTGGAGAAGACAAAAGAGATTAAGAAAGACAGAGAGTTGGTCCCGAGGGGACTGGACCCGATCACGAACGGATTAGGCATCTGCAATCCATTCACCATCACGCTCAGATCTGTCTCCGCTGCCGTGCTTCCATTCTCACCGTCGGCGTCGACCACGAGCTTGAAGTTGTAGAGACCGACCCGCGCCGCCGATTCTGTACAGATCATGAATGGTTGGGGCGCGAAGCTTAGTGATGCCATGAATGGTTGGTTCGAATGGCCAAGAGGAATGATTGGTTCGAATGGCCAAGAGCTAGCTTCCGATGAAGATGAGCTCAGACATAAGAGAGTAATGGAGAAGAATCGGGACTGGAAGAGGGGGTAGATCGATGGTGGAGGAAGGAATATCAGGGGGTTCGTCGATTGCGTCTTTCTCAGAAGGGGTGGGCGTACGAAGAAGAGGATAAGACAGAGGGAAAAGTGGGTGGGTCAAACAAGGGGTTCTTGTTTTTTGTTGCTTTAAATTTTTTTTAATTAATTATTATCCACATGGACAATTAGAGAGGAAAAGAGAAATAAGAGCTCGCCACGTAAGCGTTTTCGTTTGGCCAGTCACACATAACGCTAACAGCGTTAAAGAATTGGACGGAAGTGGCTACAAGTGGTATTTCGCCAAATTTGGCTATTATTGGCACAAACGCTAAAGTTTTGACTATACAAGTGTATTTTACATTTTTTTTTTCTTTAGCAAACGAGTCATTTAATCGAGTCATTTCGTACCAAACGACTCAAACAAACGAGCCCTAAAGAGCTCATTGGACAACAATTATGAATAGCTTTTTTAGCAACAGCATGCGACAATGTGGGGGCTGGCATAGATGTGAGTATATATGTGGTCAAATAAATAACTCAATTTCAATAAATAAAAATTAAATAATAACTCAAATACTGTGTAGTGATTGGTTTTTGGAGCTTTGTTGGAACATTAGAATGACAGGTAGATAGATCATCTGTTCGGTTTGACCCTCAGATTCATTAAGCCCAATAAATCCAACGAGGTCAGGTCACATACTTAGTCAAATCGCATATAATTAATTGGTCCAATAATATGTTTTATATTATTCAACGAAAAAAATAATAATATGTTTTATATTATATATAACTGTATATTCGTCAATTATTGCTGCTGATGCATGTGACTGGACCATATAACCTCTACATATTTAATTCCTTCCACAGCTAGGATTAATCATCTGGATTCCTATTTGCAGCCCTAAGTTTTTAAAATTTCAGCTCTAAATAAACTGAACAGATAAAATTACCCCTCCAACCATTTTCAATCGAAGCCCTAATCCCCTAATCTGTCTCGCCGCCGTAGTTCGCCATTTATGAGCGCCGCCGCCGCCGTTCGCCCTCCCGTCGCAGGAAGCCCCCTCCCTCCAACCCTTTCCTGGATGAGCGCCGCCGCCGCCGCCGTTCTCCCTCCAATCCTTTCCTGGACTCGGAATTCCAGGAAGAACGGCGGCTTGGCTGCGACGGAGGAGCTGGGCGATGTTCATCCAGGGAGAACGATGAACATATTAGCCATTCGCCGCCCTAATCCCAAACCATCGGCGCCGCCCTAATCCCTAAAATCCTGCTCATTTAATTGACCGGCGGCTGACGAAAATTGCGCGGCTGCTCTGCCCCGTCTCCGTCTCCGCCGCCAGAATCCCGCCACGCCGGCCGTCTCTGCTACTATTGGGAGGAAGAAGGAACCGTCGCGCCGACTCTCGAATGACGATCGAGGAAGGAGGAGGAAGAAGACGGCTCCGCCCCACCGGTTCAATCGTCTGCCGGTCTATGGTTTTCGGAGGAGTAAGATGGAACCGTCGCGCCGAGCAGGAACCGCGATCGAGGAAGGAGGAGGAAGAAGGATCGAGGAATCGCGCGTCTGGTTGCTGGTCGGGTCGCGGGTCTAGTTGCTGGTCGGATCGCGAGTCTGGTTGGCTGCAGGACTGTGCGGTTTGGTTTGGTTGTTTGAATAAGTGATTAGAATGTACAATTATTATTATCAGTGATGATTTAATGACTGGAATTGCAGGACAGCTACAATAATTATTATTATGAGTGATGATTTTATTGGTATATATATAACTAATGTACAACATTTAAACATTGTGTTATAATTACTTAGTTATGTATAATTGATTGGTTTTATAATCAATATTGTGTTTTATAATTAACGTACAATCATTGAGATTTATATTTAATTTTTAAATAGTGTGATTTAAATTTTACAATTAATCTACATTTGTTATTAGAGATGAATTTATATGATTGGTGATGAATTGCTATAATCAATGCTTAAATTGTATATTAATAAATAATATCTATAAGTAGGGCTTCAAGAGAATATGAATTCATCCAAAAATGGATAGTTACAATCCTCTTTATATGTAAGAATATAAAATAATAATCACTTGATAATGACACAAAGGTAAATCCATAAGAATATAAAATAATAATCACTTGATAATGACACAAAGGTAAATCCATAATTCGACATAATGTTCAATCTTAAAAAAAAATAATGCAACAATGTTTAATCACTCTTGTCATCGTCATTGGCTGGATGATGTCCTCCGAGATCGACATACAATTGTCGCCCAGCCTCGTATAACAAATCCCAATCAGCAATTCTTAGCATATCCCGAAAGTAAGACCACTGTGGACTAAAATGAGGTATTGGTGTGACCCCATCAACTTCGCCAAAATATAGTCGCACCCAATGTGCCCCCAGTAAAAACAAGAGTTATAACTTGACTAGGTTGAGTGACCCCTTCCGGCGCCGTCAAAGGTAAGACTGTGTACCCATACGTGTTTCGTTCATTATACAGTCCATAAACAACAATTGCACAGTTGTATATGGTTGCGAATGTCAGCAAATCCACCTCCTCAAACCAATACTCTCGTGTGCAACTCCCAGCAGTCCGACGATCTAGCCTATGACGTGCTGCCTCCAACGATCCATCTCTGTAAAGATAAACCCCCTCATAGATAGGCCAATGATCATTGATTTCCGTGACAAGGTTTTGCCTCAGTTGTAAGTAGTGTTCCTCGTCCCCATAAATCACATGTGACATGGCTCGAAAACCACATTGCCCGTCTGGTTTTGGGTCAAACCAACCTCTAAGAAGAGGGCGGACGCTAAGTGGGATATAGCGGAGATAAGGACAAACATTTCTCTCATTGTGGACTTGCATATGCTGACTTTTCGAGACACCTCCTGTTGGTACAAAAAATAACTACTGTAAACGGCTACATACCAAGGAGTATGATTACACTAAAAAGATAAGAATTTTGCTAACCTGCAGGAGTCGTCTTGTGTGTCTTTCTCGTGTTCTCATTTGTTTTGCTCCTCTTTGCCGATCGTGTCCTCTCATGCTCAAACCAAGAAGGATCTCTAGTGTTCGACCTCTTTGGTGGTCGTCCCTTTGGAGCCTCTGACTCTCTAGGCTCTAATAGGCCTGCAACTTGTGGACGAATATGAGGGAGTAGTAATTGAGATGCCTTCCGAACAGCAGCTGGTCCTTGCCTGTACACATCCTCCACCATGGCTGCAAAAATTCCACGCTCAGTGGCATAATGGTCCTCCCATTTTGCACCATCAGGAGGACTCTCATACACCAAAGATGACCAGAATCGATGTAAGTGGTGAGGGTGTAACTCCATGCCGGCATCACTAAGTGCATCCATCTTACATTTACATGGCAAACCATGTGTCTCATGTAGCCGACATCCACATCGCTGAACAATTTCTCTTGCTCGTTCTTTCATCAACAACTCAATTGCCCACAAGCTTACTTCCATATTCAAGTGACCATATGGCGGACCGTCAGCTAATTTAAATACCTATTTCAAAGAACGAACTTCTAAGTCAAAATCAAATTGAGTATACGGAGGAATATCAACACCATTGAAGAAAAAATGAAAATACCTTCAAACGCGAATCCTCTAAGTCCTTTCTTAGTTCAGTCACTTTTCCCTCAATGGATGTGTGATATCTGAGAAAGAGTGTGTCGATCTTGTGGGTCGAACTGGCAAGCCATTTCTTCAAGGAAGAATGAGTTGACTCTACCCTGTTTGTGCTCGTGTTACCAATATGGAAAACACGATTGGTGTAGCAATGAGCCCACCTTTGCGCACATGGTATCCACTCACCCCTCAAGTAGTTCATGAAGCGTGGGTTTTTACCCCAATCACTAGTTTGCAAGTCTACCCACCGTCGCTGGAACCCTCCCTGAGTGTTGGCATTCATGAGTGTCTGCCAAGGCCCTGCTACAAACACCTCTGCAGATTCTCGACTTATCCCGAGAGACATCATCTTGGCTTCAATGTTCTTCTTCATGTGCCACACACATAGTAAATGAGCTGAAGATGGAAAGATCTCACGCACGGATACACCCAACCCGCCCTCCTTATCGGTGACGAACGCATCTGGTCTTCGACCACCAAGAACATTCTTCAATTGCGACAATACCCAAGCATATGTCTCCTTTGTCTCATCTGAAACCAATGCGAACCCTATGTTGAAGTTCTTCTTCACCGGACTAACACCAATCAACTGAACCAGTGGTTGCTTATACTTGTTGGTCTTGTACGTCGAGTCTATCAAAATAAAAAAATACCATGCGCTCAACATCTTAATAGACTCCGGATGGGAAAGGAAGAGTCTAGTATCACGACGGTCTTCATCAAAATCAACTCCAATGAAGTAGCCAAGACGGTCAGCTTCTATAAATGTCCACCGCATAGGGGAAAGACCACCCAATCTCTCACGCCTAATCTTTGCTGACTCATTATAAACCTGATCCATGTTGTGATGAGCATCAAACTTCCTATTTATAAAACTTCTTATATCTTTCGCCTGAGTATGTGTTGCCTCCAGCTCCTTAATTTCAATCTTTTCCTCATTTGAAAGAGCATTCCTTTGCTTGCTTCCTTCAGCATAAACTTCCAATTTGTGATTGTGAAATCCCTTTGGCTTCCCATATCTGTCCGTAACACCCAAAATTCTCCACTTACATTTGCCATCTACCAATGAACTCCGCACTACCACTCGGAACTGGCAACCTTGCTTGCCTGATTTTGATATGCGTCTTGTCTTTGCCAAATCTGGGGTATATGATTTGCTCCTCTTACCATGGTTGCAATCCATATATATCCGCGGATAGTCTTGTCCATAATTTTTCTTGGTTGATTCCACAACCAAGAAAAACCTATTTCTTTGGGCAATCTCCTTTGCCGCCGCACAAGCTTCGACATGGGTATCATAAACAACATCGCTTATGAACAATGATGTGTAATCAAAATTGTCACCCTCATTTTCGCCAAAATCTCCCTACAATTAAATATGATAAAGATATATAAGGTTAAGAAAAGCAATAATTATGGTACAATAATGGAACTATCAAACAACAAACAACAAGTACTTACTGAATTACTCATAATAATCTCTAAAGTAAATATCCTTAATCGAACTTGATTATCTTCAATTAGACGTCTTGATTTCTATTATGTTCAATAAAATTCGTAGGTCTCACACTCTCTATTTATAGAGGTTCCAAAAGCATGAAACTAACCTTGTAGAAATAGAAAAACAAATCCAACACTAACTAGGAAACATAATACTACTTTAACAAGGACTACTACTACTAATTAAGCTTCTAAATAACCAAATTTAATAATTGTAATGTACTTTTCCTTTGAGGAACTATTTTTAAAATTATTTTATTTTAGTTATTTTTTGGTTTTGTTAGTTGTTTGTCCAAATAGAGCAGACCCAAATGTCCAACCAGACCAGACCCAACCAATTTGTGCAATTTGACCCGACTGGGCGGTCCCTTCTTCCTCCTAGTATCGCTGACCAGCAGAGACTTTTTTTTTTTTTAAACGGAGAGAATTTTTCTCTCTTACGCGTTCTGGATCGGCGCAGCGGAAGCCGAAAGGTATTACAGAGACCACCGCCGAAGAGCAAAAGAGGTACCCAACCGCATTTCCGGCCCAAAATCTGCGGTTCCGGTCCCGGGTCTCTCCGGCTATGGTGTCGACCTGATACCAGCAGCAGCTCGTCGACAGAGGGGAAAGAGGAACATCGCAATTGGGGCGATTGTGGCGTCGACGAAAATGTTTTAGGAAGAGAGGTATTGGGGCGATTGGAGCGACGGCGACCAGTGGGAGCGACCAGCAGCAGCCACGGCGACCAGTGGGAGCGACCAGCAGCAACGGCGCGACCAGTTACCCAGCAGCAGCGGCGACGGCGCGGTGACCAGTTACCCAGCAGCAGCGGCGAAGGCGTTAGGTTTAAGGCGTTGGGTTTTCAATCCGTCTGAATCTGATGAAGAGTGACTCCTGCAAATTTGAATTGGGTAATTTCTTCTTGTGAATGCTGGGCTCGAGTGCGGCGGCAGGCTGTTCATTTGTCGAGAGCGTCGAACGAATGGCCAAAGGCAGCAACTTTTTCTTTCATCTGGCTATCGGCGGGGAGCTGAATCCTCAATAGCGGCGGGTAATTGAAGGAACTGTTGGTCGGGCTTGGGTGGGGATAATTCTAGGGCGATAATTCGTTAGGCTGAGAATAAGGGTAAATGTGTCAACTATTGAAATTTAGGGCGGAATTTTTGGAATTCTAGGGCGATAAATATTAGCTCCCTTAATCATTGGGTGCTAACTAGTTCCGCCGTTAATTATGGTTTCCCACTCAAATTTTGATACATGGCGGAGTCAGGATTCAAAAGTACTTGTATCCTCTTCTCAAAATATAAATATATAAATAATAAATTAATTATTTAATAATTATAATAAAAACTAATAACCACGGCATTCTGAAAGAAACGCAAAATATATTCGTTGTTTTGACTTTTAATCATGTTTTTTAATGTATCCAACTAAACAGTTGTTGATGCCCGGATACTCCACCTCACCACGCGCACCCTGTCCGCCCTATCCACTTCACCTCAGGCGCCCAGACCCTGCAAAACTAGCGCCTAGAGGGCTGGAGCCACCCGTTAGCACTCCAACGATCAAGTCAGTGCTAATTCTAGAGAGATAAGTGAAGAGCTAGAGCTTAGTGAGAGAAACCGACCTGAGTAAATGCCACCTACCGCGTACTATTTATACTACTCGGGCTCCTCGACCAGGCTCCGACCAACTCCTGCCACCAATCCTTACGTCAGCCTAGCATTAAATGCCTGGTCGGGTCCAACGTCCAAGCGCCTACACGTGGCGCATCGTCTGGCTCGGGTGTCAGGGCGCATGGGGGGACCATTCGCCTACGTGGTGTTCTTCCGACCCTCCTTAACCGTACTTCTTTGTCCATGAGTCTATTTTGTCGCCAAGCGCCCCTTTACCGTTGGTGTCCCTCAGCCCATGTCTCAATGGGCCCCTAATGGGCTCCAAGCCCATCAGGCTTTGGACTTAGATGGGCTCATCTATGTTTCCCCAACAATTGCCCCCCAGTTAGGTGCTCACGAGTGAGTGCCTAACTACGAAAGAACTGATTTAGTGCGCGTGATTCTGTCAAGGTTCCCGTTCGCCCTTCTTCTTCATCCGGGACTTCTAACAGGCGCCTGTTGCCACCTTGCCCCCCACGCCATGCGTTCGTTAGCCTCGACCACCTGGTAGTGCGGAAACAGGACGCATGACATACTTGTGACGCCTGCTTGAATTCAATCAAGCGCATGGTGTATGCCTTTCTTGCGGATTGCTACCCGCTATGATGAAAACAATGTGAAGCAGGCGCCTATTTGTGACCCTTCACTTCCCCTTACCTTACTTGGGTTTCCGCCTGTTTGGAAGGAGACGGGCGCATATTTGCCTATTTGTGATCCTGCGCCTGCCTGAATTAAATCAGGCGCATGACCGTACCCCTGGGGGTCTCTTCGACCATTTGGTAGTGCGAAAACAGGACGCATGACATACTTGTGGATTGTTATCCGCTATTATGAAAATAAGGTGAAGCAGGCGCCTGTTTGTGACCCTTCACTTCCCCCTTACTTTACCTGGGCGCCTGCTGGTGGCTTTTTGCCTATTTGGAACGAGACGGGCGCATATCTACCTATTTGTGATCCTTTGCCTGCCGTTTCAAATTTCAAATTTCAAAAAATTTCTTTACCTAGGCGCATGACCGTACCCCTCGCCCCCACGGCGCTCGTTTCAAATTTCAAATTTCAAAAAATTTCTTAATTCCAAATTCAAATTTCAAACGAGCGCGAGGATCTACCCGTGGAGCGTGCGCGCATCTCGAGGTCTCTCTCCCTTCTTATAAATGTAAATCTTCTTCCCCTCTCTTCCTCATTCACGCCGAATTCGACTCTCTCTCTTCGCACTCTGCTCCCCCTTGGCTCTTGCGCCTAATTTCCGCAGTACTTTTGCTTGCGCGCCTCCTTTCGGCAATATGTCTCAAACTGACTCTGGCGCCGCCAACACCAATATTGAGAAAAGTGGAAGCGCCGAGACTGACGTGATCAAGGTGCTCGAAGGGCACCTGTCCCCCGACCCCCTTCGCGACCGCGAACCGCGGGCGTCCCATCCCAGAAAAGAGGCGCCTACGAAGGCGAAATCGAACCCGCCAAAGTCTGCGCCTGCGGAATCAGATGCGCCAGCGGCCAAAGGACCCTCAGAGGCGCCCGCCACTTCCCAGGCGCCTACTGCCGCTACTCCGCCGCCAACCAACACCGATCAAAGTAAGTTTCCTTTATCCTTCTACCCTCTGAATCCTTTATGTGTTCCTTGATCAATTGTTAGGCGCCCGTTAGTGCTCTTAGGCTCGTATTATTGACCAAGGACGATTGGATCACTTTTAGGCTATGCGCCTACCTCGTCAGAGTCGAGTGAATTGATGGTTTCCCCGGCATCCACAAACTCAGGCGCCCCTGACGACGGGTCCTTCAAGATAGTTGATTGGGAAAGCACCTGGCCACAGGGGGGAGCGCCTGAAAACATCGGCAAGCTGTCGGTGGCCAGAGCGGGTCCGAAACACATCACCACTGTCAAAATAGCGGAGTTGCACCGACTGATAACTTCCTGCAACCTGCCGCGTTCCTGGTCTTATGCGCCCGCGTCACAGATCGCCCGGGTAGGCGTGGTGGGCCCGCACTGGATTGGTATATACCGAGAGTATTTCAAGTTTGGGTTACGCTTCCCCTTAGATTCCATCTTAGAAGGAATCTTAGAGACATGCGCCTGTCCCATTGGGCGCCTATCGCCCTCTGTCTTTCTGATACATATCTTGTTCAAGCTGATGTGTCGTCAGAATAACATCACCCCGAAATTCAAGCTGTTTAGATATTTCTTTACGATGACTAGCAGCGACAACTGCCTATCCCTACAGAGGCGCGTGGACATCCAGGGGCATTTTGTGGAGGATTGCCCGAAATTGGGCCGTAGCTGGTATAGGTCCTACATTTTTATCAAGCCACACACTGACTCATTTTACGAGAGTGGTGCTCCGTTCACCCGACGCTGGAGAGTTGGAAGCACTTCTCGCTTTAACGTTGAGGAGGACTTGACCGACATTGAAAAAGATCACGTGCGCCTGTTATGCTTGCGTCCAGTGAACTTGAGTTCCACCGTCGCGCGCACCCCTGTATTGCATGAATACTATGCTGACGGTGGGTGGGCGCATAGTGATGAGTCTGTACTTCCTCAAATTTCATGCGCCTATGCTACTCGCTTTATGCACGTTATTATCCTAACTTAGTTGAATCGTGTGTTTTCTGTTGCAGGCGTGGACTTTACTTCTATCGCCACTTTGATGAAGACCCAACTCGAGAACATGGGTTTGGACTACCAGGCGCCCGTGTTTCCAGGCAAGGCGCCCTCCCGTCAGAGGAAGAAAGGCGCCTCGAAGAAGGGAGGAAGTGCCAAATCTTCTTCGACCAGTGCTAAGGCTCGAGGCGCAGCCGACGCGCCTGTCGTTTCGGCAGGCAAGGGAAAGGGGCGTTCAAGCCCGCGGAGGATCAAGCCTCAACAGGTGCCCAGCGCACGGAGGAAGAGCGGGCGCCGGATGATGTCCACAAAAAGGATGAGGTGCTTGTCACTGTTCAGTCCGACTCCGAATTGGATGTTGACGACATTCCTCTTACTCAGAAACTCAAGAGGAAGGCTGATGATGATGCCTCGGCGCGCGGAAAGAAGCAGCGCACAAGCGCGGAGGAAAGGGTCCCAGAGTTTGTGGAAAAATGGCTCCAACCACCCAGGCATAAGGTTAATATCGCCTGTTCTGACAGATCCGCATTGGAGCGGAGTTTCGGCGCTCGGCTTTGCGTTTCATGCAGCCGAAGTACTGCGCGCACCTAGTGACGTGCAAGGAAAGAATTTGTGGGGAGAGGTGGCGCGTATGGCTGCCATGGTACGTAGCGTCTTCAATTTTAGAACTTATGATTTTTGCAGGTTTATGCGCCTGTGTTTCAATTATTGACCAGTTTTTGTTTCTGAACAGATGCTTTTTGTTGGCAAAAAATGGTGCAATGGCTCACGAGGAGCAGCGCATGGGGGAAGTGGAAGCCTCCTCTTCTCTTGGTGTGGTGCGCGATGACCTGGAGACGGCCCAGAGGCGCCAGGCGGAGCTGGTGCAGGCGTGTGATGACGCCACTCTTGAAGCTGCCAAGGCTGCGTCACTCCTCCAACAGACAATGGACGAGGAGAAGAAGAAACTGAAGTTGGAGCATGAGGCCGAGCTAGAAACCGTCAAGAGGGCGCATCATGAGGAGATGGCCAAACTCATGAAGGAAAGGGCCGATTTGGATAAAGAAGCAGGCGCCCAGAGGAGTGAAATCGACCTTCTCATTGAGGAGAAGAAGACTTTGCAAAAAGAGAAGAAGATCCTGGCCCGGGAAAACAAGAGGCGCCAGGAAGAGTTGGAGGCGCTTAAGGGCAAGGCTACCTCCGAAGCGCCTGTCTCTGATATGGCGCTTAAGGCCCAGGCTTCTCTCAACAGCATCCTCATTCTGAAGAGGAAGTTGGAGGCTGACCATCCCACTATCAACTGGGATGTCAAGGAGATGGCCAACTTCGTCATCGACTTCATGAGCAGTGGGCGCCCCGTTGTGGACCCGGCTCCTGCGCCTCCTCAGAACCCGGTGGATGAGGGAGAAGACTCAGGGTCTGGCTCGGAGTCTGACGAGGAGTCAGCTGGCGAAGAAGAGGGTTAGCTCATGGCATGCTTTCGAGGCGCCCTTATGTGCATGCGCTGCTGGATTTTGTTGCCTTTGCGACTTATATATATTTTTTCTGTGTTGAACCTTTGTTTTTATGACTATCTATTGATGTGCGCCTAACTCTCTTTTCATAACTTTTGCGCCTTGATTTTGTCGATGCCTTGCATACTTTTACCTTATTTATGCGAAGTAAGGATTGATATTTTTAACGGGGGCGCTTACATGGGGTGCACTGCTTTCATAACTTTCATTCCCCATTAAGGGTTCAAAGTATGTGGCGTGTGGGCGCATTATGTATACCGGGCGCGTTTGTGCACAATGAATTGGTGCAATAGACAAGATAGCAACATATCTATGTATATATATATATTCCGATTTCAAAAACAACCTTGGGGCGCTATTTCCGGGCGCTTTAAGTATCCCGGGCGCTGAAGGGCGCTTTACATAAATAATTCCGGGCGCTGAAGGGAGCTTTACATAAATATATATCCGGGCGCTTTAAATATCCCGGGCGCTAAAGGGCGCTTAACTACGGGCGCATTCAGGCGCTTTGCTCTACTTCTACCAAAAAAACGCCCCAAGGCTTGCTTTTCACGATCAAATCGTCGACATAGGCCTCGACGTTCCTTCCCAACTGCCCACGAAAGATTTGATTCACCATGCGCTGATAAGTGGCGCCTGCATTCTTCAAACCAAATGCCATCACTCTATAACAGAAGTTGCCAAAAGGGGTCATAAAGGCGGTCTTTGCTCTATCCTCCTCTACCATGGGAATTTGATGATACCCTGAAAACATGTCAAGGAAGCTAAGCGCCTCATGATAGGCTGTGGCGTCCACAAGCAGATCAATGCGCGGCATTGGGTAGGCGTCCGTTAGGCACGCCCGATTAAGGTTGGTGAAGTCCACGCACATCCTCCAATCCCCCGACGGCTTTAGGACGAACACAACATTCGACAGCCAAGTGATATACCTGGCCTCTTCAACGAATCCGGCCTCGAGCAATTTATCGACCTCCTTCCGCAGGGCTTCTTCCTTCTCTTGAGTCAAATTTCTTCGCTTCTGTTGAACAGGTCTCTTACCCTCTTCGACGGCCAATCTATGCGCCGCCACGTCTGGAGACACTCCCGGCATGTCCTGGGGGCTCCACGCAAAAAGCTCCCCAAATTCCCTTAACAAATTGATCAAGGGCGCCCTCATGTGCTCCGACGCCTGAGCTGACACCCGTACCTGTCGGTCGAGGCGCCCTTCATCGATCGACACACTGAACTCATCATCTACAGGCTCTGCTCTAGGTGCTTCCTCCGGGCGAATATCTATGTTGTTCACCCTGTGCCTCCGGGCACCTTTCTTCCTCCATTCTTCCTCTCGCGCGTAACGGGGGACGCTTTCTCCTCTTGAGATTCCTATGCCTTGTGGGGCAACAAACTTCAACGTTTGGTGACAAGTTGAGGCCACCCCATTGAACAACGCCAAAAGGGGCCTTCCTAGTATGACATTGTACGGTGAGGGGCAATCTACTATCCCAAACTCCACTGCATGTGTTACTCGATGCGTCCCATCACCCAACGTAACCGGGAGACGCACACGCCCTATCACATGGGCAGGCGCCCCCGAGAACCCTATCAGTACTGAATCAGAAGGGCTCACCAACTCTGGCGCTAACTGCATGCGCTCAAATGTGCTTTTGAACAATACATCCATCGAGCTTCCCGTATCTACCAACATCCTCTTGACCTTGCATCCTGCAATGATTCCCTGTATCTCCAAAGCCTCCTCCGAAGGCACTTGACATGCCTCGTCCGCCTCCTGATTAAAGCATATTTGGACCGCCGCCTTTGCCTCCACCGACGCGGACCTGAGGCGCCTTGCACGATCCAACTTATCTCGCAAGTCGATTGTACCGGTTATGGATTCCACTGTGAGTCCAACTCGGCTGGGTTCTCCCTCTTGATTCACCTCGAACGGAGGCGGGGGTATCTCAAGTGGGGGTGGGTGAACCTCAGGCGCCTGTTGCACCGTGGGGAGGATGGGAACACCAGGCGCCTGCCTTGTTTCCCTTGTGACATAAGCACGGTGAGTCCGCTCGTCTGTTTTTTTTATAAAGTCATTGAGCATCCCTCGATCGGATAGAGTCTGCAGCTCTGATTTTAGTTGGTAGCAATCGGCCGTATGGTGCCCTTTATCTCGATGGAAGTTGCAGTATCGGTCAAGATTTCGCTCATTTGGTTGCCCACGCATGGGTCCCTGCCAACGCACATGGTACCCTCTATCCTTCACGTATTGCAGAATGTTCTTTAAGGAATCGTTGTACTCCGTAAAATTTCCCGCACTCCTGGGCAGAGGGCGCTGACTCTCCATTCTTCTCTGCGGCGCATTGTTCACAATAAATGGCCTAGGAATCTGGCGCACTTCGATCTCTTCCCTGCCCACGCGCCTCTTCTCTGCTCTTCTTGCAGCCAACGTCTCCTCCAAGGCAATAACCTTCTGAACCCTTCGGTCCAAGTCTTCCGTTGAAACTACAGCCCTCTTGGACAACACCCGGCATAACTCCTCACTATTCGTGCACTCCTCCAGACATACACCCATGACGGGCGGTTGCACATCCTTCACGGCCATGGCGACCGAAATCCACCGGTCGTAGAACTCTCTAAGCGCCTCTCCGTCCTTCTGCTTGATTTTAAACAAGGCGCCTCTAGTCAGTGTCCGACGCTTTCGGCTAGCAAATTTGGACAAGAACAATTCCGCGAACTGTTCAAAGCACTCTATGCGCCCTTCCTCTAACTGATGGTACCAGTCTAAAACTACTCCCGCAAACGTCGAGGGGAACACCTTGCACAGCGTGGCGTCCGTGCTATTATACAGCTGCATCTTCGTAAAATAGCTATTCAAATTATCCTCCGGGTCAGTGACCCCATCATAGCTGGTCAGAGGCGGGAGGGTAGTTCCCGCTGGTTCCATCAAGACACTCTGCGCTAGAGGTTGCCTGATCCCGAAGCGCCTGGTCTGGCGTCTAGGCGTCCATTGCAATTGCTCTTCTGGCCCCGAGGTGGCCAACTCTCCAGGCGCTCTCCACACAGCCGGACGCCTAGGTGGTGTAACTTCCACATGCTGCCCTTCATAGTACGGGCGCCCATACTCACTAACTTTCGAATCATCCACGAGCCTATCACGCTTCCTTACCGGGGGGCTATATTCTCTCGTATCGGCGCTCCTCCCTCCTTCCAATTCCCTCCGAAGCATAGCTATTGCCTTGTCCTGGTCCGCGATGATCTTAAACAGCTCCCTCTTTGACAACGAGTCACTCTCTACAGATGGGCGCTCACGGCTTTCTTCCTCTACCTCCATGCTCACCACTGGGCTAGATCGTTGCCCGCTACCCTCATGACTGGAGTCCTCCGTTCTCGCGTCATCAGCGCTCGCATTTCCCTCATTCAGGTCTTCCATCTGCCTACGCCCTCTCAGGTCCGCGCTCCCTATCTGGCGCGCCAATTGTTGATGCCCGGATACTTCACCTCACCACGGATACTTCACCTCACCACGCGCACCCTGTCCGCCCTATCCACTTCACCTCAGGCGCCCAGACCCTGCAAAACTAGCGCCTAGAGGGCTGGAGCCACCCGTTAGCACTCCAACGATCAAGTCAGTGCTAATTCTAGAGAGATAAGTGAAGAGCTAGAGCTTAGTGAGAGAAACCGACCTGAGTAAATGCCACCTACCGCGTACTATTTATACTACTCGGGCTCCTCGACCAGGCTCCGACCAACTCCTGCCACCAATCCTTACGTCAGCCTAGCATTAAATGCCTGGTCGGGTCCAACGTCCAAGCGCCTACATGTGGCGCATCGTCCGGCTCGGGTGTCAGGGCGCATGGGGGGACCATTCGCCTACGTGGTGTTCTTCCGACCCTCCTTAATCGTACTTCTTTGTCCATGAGCCTATTTTGTCGCCAAGCGCCCCTTTACCGTTGGTGTCCCTCAGCCCATGTCTCAATGGGCCCCTAATGGGCTCCAAGCCCATCAGGCTTTGGGCTTAGATGGGCTCATCTATGTTTCCCCAACAACAGTCATTAGCAAAGTGGTTGCCTATTCGACTTCGATTCTTCTAAACTTGTTCTTAATATAACTCAAAGCTGAAAAATGCTCGTTCTACACTTGCGGTTGCAACAAGTAGAATAAAAAATAGCTTCAAAAGTAAATAGACTAATCCCTTGTTTTTTAGTTTCTGAACAGTATGGAGGGAACAGAATTGGAAGGAAAATTCCACTGTGCCAATAGCCCCTCCAAAGTGGAGAGAAAACATGATTGTTGCTTTACTTTTTTTCTTCTTCTTCCATTTAAGTAGTAATTGCCATGGGTTATGGAACATAAATTTGAACATAATGCTTTTTGTTGCACACAGTATTTTTTTTACCTTTATTTGGCTTGTTGGAAAGATAGTTATGAAGGATGTAGATAATTATAAACTTTGAGACATGAATAATTACGTTTGCAGTTAACATAAAATATATTATAATAAATTACCGAAAAATAGTATAATAATTAAGATAAATGGTATAAATCTTACGTGAACATGTAAAAGTGTGTTACATACTAAAATCCTAGATTATCAAACCGGTTTATACATTTATGTCGGTTTTGTAAGTGATATGGCTTGACTGGGGTATAACCCATTTATATGCCGGCTTATAACGATTACACTCAGACCATTAGTTTTTTCATTTTTGACCAACGATGGACACTCACCGGACCATTAGCAAGAAAGAATAAATTTGATCCTGAACAGTATTGAAAATAATACCAACTCATAATAAAATTAGTTTATTATTACATAACCAATAAAATAATATATATTTCACTCATTTCACTTCTCCTTCTCCTTTTACTATTACAATCAAATTATTTTACTATTACATAACCAATAAATTAACATATTCATCACACTTCCCAATACACACTTTCCTTCCCACTTTCCTCCATAAAAGTACCTTGGGAAGCCAACTTTCCGTCCCAACTTGTCCCTTCCTCCCTTTTCTCTCGTAGAAAAACACATGGTAAATGAAATTCTCCATGAAATTGCAAGTGGGTAGAACGTGGGCCCAAATCTCACTTTTTGCCTTTTTTTTTCATTTTCACTTTCTTTTATAGTTTCATTCATATAGAAGAAGTGTTTAGTTGTAATAAAAAATTAGTTGGACCCACAAAATGAAATAGAAAGTTGATTTCATGGATTTAGAGAAAACGAAATTGATATGTAGTGGAATGATAAAAGTGGTTGATGTGGCGGTAGGGACCGCATATGAAATGAAAATGCTATTTCATGAATGTAGATGGTCTTAGAGAGCGAGAGAGAGGTTGATGAATATGATGAGCGGATTTGTTGTCATAATCATTGGAATCTTGAGTCTTGAAGGGAATTAGTCATCCTTAATGACCCCCATGTTTTTGATGTCTTCCTACTCTTTTCATTTTCTTTTTTTCCGTAGACATAAAAAGTAATATTGTTGGTTTCACATTTTATTCGCATCGAAATAATTTTCATTTGAGCATAAATGTATCGTTGTTTGCCAACTCGAGAGGAATTAGTCATACTTTTGATCTCCAATATGTTAAAATGCTCATGACATCATCTGTGAAAACATGCTCACAGTAAGACAATGTCGTCGAATTTTATGTTGAGCACTTCTACTATGCTATATAATATTGGTGCTTTAATGTACAACTCAAACTTGTACCATAACATTAAATGTATAAGTTTAGGTTGTACCATAAAGCAATTTGTACCATTATGTTATGGTACAACTTTACAACTTGAAGTTGTACCATCACATAAAGGTACAAGTTCAAGTTGTACCATAAAAGAATTTGTACAAAAGTATAGGTACAATATAAAGTTGTACCATAACGTAAATGTACAATTTTAAATTGTACCATCAAGGCAAAAACCTATAGCACCAATGCTAAGCTTAATTGCAAGTTTGGTCACTCGAATTGCTAAAAAATTTCACGTTTGCCACTCAAATTGATTTATTCCATTTATAGTCACTCGAATTAGTTGAATAGTCCAAGTTCGGTCACTCTCCGTTAACCTCCGTTAGACTCCGTTAATGACGACCGTTAAGTGATGACGTGGCTAACAGAAAGACACAATCAGCATATTTCAACATTAAAAAATGACCACCCGACCCGCCAGCTCAGCCTTACCCGCCCTGTCAGCCATTCTTGCCCAACCTGCGAACCAACCCAATTAATTGACCCTAAACCGGAGTATGCTGCGCCCACTCCCTAATCCACGCCGGATGGAAAGTGACGGTGGTCGAGAAATCATCTGGTCCACCTACCGGCAGCGCAACCGGCGCCGGACTTGGACTCGACCCTCAGTCGCGCCAAATCATCGCTTCCTGGCTTCCAGTTCCAGACCTTCTCCACCAACCCACTCTCCCTCTCACCATCGACCAGGTCAGTGAGTGATTTTCACAAACACCTTATCTTCAATTTTCAGCCACCAATTTTATTTTTATTTTCATTGGATTTGTTTCTTGGAGCAGAACCAGTTGGGTGCTTGCCAGAGACGAAGAGTTTAATTTAAGAGCAACTCACTGGACTGATCTTCACCACCTTCTATACACTGCTTTGCCTCCGGAAGAAGTTTCGTTTCTATGGGGCCATTTCTACCTCTCCTTTAGCATTTCTCAGGATAACTCGAAACCATCGGTCTCTGTTCAGGCCAGAACTCTCCAAACCGGGGAGATCGTCGAGATTAATGGGGGTTTGCTTGTGGCCGCTGATGGGTGTCTCTCTGCCGGCGATTTTCGATGGTGTGCGATGGAGAGAGGCGGCGCGGGAGGATGAGAGGATGAAGATGGAAAGATAAAGTGCCCTAACCATCAGTTTTCGAGTTACATTTCAGGGGGGTTGGGTCTCGGGTTTGGGTTTAGGGTCAATTAATTGGGTTGGTTCGCGGGTTGGGCAAGAATGGCTGACAGGGCGGGTAAGGCTGAGCTGGCGGGTCGGGTCGTCGTTTTTTAATGTTAAAATATGCTGATTGTGTCTTTCTGTTAGCCACGTCATCACTTAACGGTCGTCATTAACGGAGTCTAACGGAGGTTAACGGAGAGTGACCGAACTTGGACTGTTCAACTAATTCGAGTGACTATAAATAGAATAAATCAATTTGAGTGGCAAACGTGAAATTTTTTAGTAATTCGAGTGACCAAACTTGCAATTAAGCCACCAATGCTATATAGCATTGTAAAATTTCTCATTTATATTTATGTTAGGATGGAAATTGTCGTTTGCAATGAATTTCTCTCCGTATTGTCCGACCTAGCTGGTGTCGGCTCGGCCCAAACTTTGAGAAATTAATTTTCGTAACCAAATGAGAAATATGCTAATTCCCAGCCCATGATAATACGTGTGGACTTGGACCGATTTAGGCCCCTAATTGAGCTGAACCCAACGACATTTACTACTAAATTTGAAAAGAAAAAGAAACTAAAAAAAAAAAAAAACGTTTAATTCCGGAACTGTAAGTCACCCCTAAAGGCTAAAACCCTGCAGATGGTTTCTTACTAGCGCCATTCCTCCCGCCTTCCTCCTCCGACGCCGTCAGTCCACAGAGCAATCGCCGCCACGCCGTCGTCTCTTTCTCCGTCTCAGGTAAACGCTTCTCCCCGAACGGCGGAACATCCGTTTATCCCAAGCGGCTGAAGGTCGAACAGGATAAAATGGCGTCGACCAATATAAGGGACCTGCTGACTGCCTTCAGTCCTTCGTTGGATTACTTCGCAATCAGCTCCGGCGACGGTCGAGTGAAGGTAGTTGAATCTTTCTCTGCGGGGATTTGCTTTGGAGCTTACCAAGTTTTGCTGCTGATTCTAATTTTATGTTTCTTCCAGATTTGGGACACGCTGAAGGGCCAGGTGCACACGGAGTTTGCAGACATAGCGTCCACTGATGTGAGTCTGCTGGCCAAGGCGGAGAGAGGGCACCTCTCGGTCGATTATACGTGCATGAAATGGCTCTCCCTGGACAGAAAGGTTGGTAATGTTTGAAAATTCGATGCAATATTTTGCTACATTAGGGATGTTTGATTGATTGATTGATTTTCCTTTGAACTTACAGAAGAAAAGGAAGATAGGGAGTTCGTTGTTAGTGTTAGGAACTGGTAGTGGGGATGTCCTGGCCCTTGACGTTGCTGCTGGTCAACCCAAGTGGATAGTTAGTGATTGCCATCCCGGGTGAGCTTTCTCGTGTAATTTTTCTTCTTCTTATGCTGTTGCAACTTTATGAATAAGTAAATGAAATCATTGGTGTTCAAGGATCTTTGACGATTCATCTAGAGTTTGTTTGGGTCCTTATTGTCTTCTCAAACGATGCAGGGGTGCAACTTCGATTTCATTTTCTACCAGTGAATCAAGCATTTACACTGCAGGCGCTGATGGAATGATTTGCAAGATCGATCCACAAACTGGAAATGTGTTGGGAAAGTTCAAAGCTTCATGCAAAGCAATATCCTCTATGTGTGTTTCTCCAGGTAGGTACTATGCCAGTAGTGGTACTTATGAATATGTACATTGTGGCTTGTAGTTTTCCAACCCTTGTTATCCTGCTTGAATGTGGAATGAATACATTTCGTTGTTGAATTCGTGATTTGAGCATTTGGTATTTGCTGCTCTTTTGTTTGTTGAGGGAACGTACCCTACTGGTTCTCTGGAAAGTTTGACCTTTATTTTATTTTATCTGTGTGATTAGATGGCAAGATATTGGCCACTGCTGCTTCACAGTTGAAAACTTTCAATTGCTCTGATCACAGAAAAATACAGAAATTTTCTGGTCATCCAGTGAGTTTCCTTTTTCCCGATATGGTTTCTATTTTCATTCCGACTTATTCCAATGCTAGATTTTGGTGTTCTCGTCATATTTTTCTCTTCATGTCACTCATTCAGTAACATTCCTTTGTTTCCAGGGAGCTGTGCGGTGTATGATTTTTACTGATGATGGAAAATACATTCTCTCTGCAAGTGGTGAAAGATATGTTGCACTTTGGAGAACTGGCAGTGGCAAAAAACAGTCGGCCTGTGTTTTTGCAATGGAGCATCCTGCAGTTTACCTTCATGCCAAGTGTTTTGAGAAAGGTGAAGCAGATGACAATGAGGGTCTCTATGTTCTGGCCATCTCAGAGACCGGTGTTTGTTACACATGGTGTGGGCAGAGTGTTGAGGAACTACAGACTGCCAAGCCCACAAAGGTCTCACTATCTTATGATGATAAAAAGCACAGGGGTGCACTGCCTGCAATATTTGCAGCACAATTACAAGTCATCCCCAAACCTACATCTGCAAATGTGTATCTTGCCTATGGTCTGTTGGTGAAGCCTTCATTTCAGAAAGTATTAGTCGAAGCTGGGAATGATGTCGAGTTAAGTAGTTTTCAGGATGGAGTTCTCTTTCCTACTAGGCAGTCCATTAGATCTAAGAAAGGGATGGATCGAGGTAAAGATTGACAAGTCTGCTTATTCAAAGTCCCGATTCAGGAAGGTATTACTTGTTCCAATGGCTAATTAAACATGTCTGAATACTTTTTGTGATTATCAACAGTTACTGCTTTGGACCGTGCTAATGTGGAGGATGCCCTTCTTCCAGTGGCAAAAGTATCCGATATTCATGTTGCTTTGGATAGCCGAAGTCAAGTTGAGTCTTTAGAGTTTAAAGGTATGTTGTATACTGTCCACCATATTGTTGAAATCAGTAGTTAAATCGTCATAGTAGCTATATGGTTCGAGTTCTCTATATCATATAAGGAAACATGTCAATGCATCAGAATTGCTACATTTTTATTTTCACTTGCTCAAACTTATTGCTTATGCAGATGACATGGTAGATGTTGAGACTCCAACAACTAGCATGGAGACACGATTGAGACAATTGAGAATACTACCGAGCGATGGTGACATCGTCAAACCTGTGATGGATTCTTTAACTTCTATGGGAATCCAGCTCGAAGATAACTTCCCCCAAAAGAAGGTTCTTGTAGATAGAATAATACCATTTCTCTCTCATTTTTTGTTACCAGGTTTCCAAACTTGTTCCTTCAGCCTTTCTCACTGGTTCTATGTTCTTTCCTCTACTAGATCAGGGCTTCTGTTTTTTCCATGGAACCAAGCAATGCATACAAGTTACTCGAGACCTTGGTGTCCATATGGAAGTTGAGGTTAGCTCACTCTGCTGCTGCTTTTATTTAAACTCTGACGATCTTCATCAGTTGATTTAACTATTATGTACCAAATACCCGAAGATATTATAGTTAGCCTGCAGTTTCAACTGAAACTCATACAGGAGCTGTAATTCATTCATAAAAGCATGTGACCTAGTATTGCCTCAAACTCATGTTGGTCATTTTCTTCCATAGATTACATAGTGGAAAGTCGGTGCTAGCATGGATGTCCTGGATATTGGTCGTTCATGGTCAATACATTGTGGCCCAAGAAAAATCTGAAGAAACCCAATTGCTAAGCTCCTTGCTGAAGGTAAGTAGCGCCCAATGCATTTGTTGTATATTGACTTAACAGTTTAATTCTGATGACTAATATTTTCCCTTGATTTTCTCCAGATTACCAAATCTAGAGAGGCTGCTGTACAACCTTTATTGCAGTTATCAGGTCGTTTTCAGCTTGTGACAGCACAGGTCTGCATAGTAGTTACATTTATATCTAAAATCTTCGCTTATTTCATCTTCATGACGATTTTGTTCTTTTGTTTGCGATGCTTTCTCTATGAAGTTTGACACGGACTCCCTGAAGAGTAACCATGCTGAATTGCCGGACGACCAAGTGGAAGATGAAGATGATGACGACGATGAGGATGTTGATGAGCGTATATATGGTCAGGAAGACGATGAATCCGATTTAAGCAGTGATGATGATAAGTAGGATTTTCGAAACCCATTGGCTGACTATTCATCAAGCAATCAATGATGGCGGTGAGTAAATGTTGATCTAGCATTTCCATATATCACCGCCCTAGTCAATTCGGGTAAAAGTTTTTCGACCTGAGATCTTCCTGCTGGTCTCTGGAAACAAGCACATGACTAGCCCTTGATTCAGTTTTGGTTCCGGCAATGATCCTCCGGCATACCCTTCCGGTTTCCCGACGGAGCAGGTTTTTGTACTATTTATCTTTACTTTGTTCGTGTTCCTTTTCTAGAGAGTGTAGTGTGTGTAAAGGCCCTACCTTGAGTCAAAATCACATTCTACATGTTTGGAAATCCATGATTTTGGTAGAAACGTATATGATTTATATAATAGAAGTAACAAAACTTCCCTCCAACCATTTCCAGGGATTTTATGCCCTATGGAGTCAGAAGTGGAACGCAGAATCGATTCGGTTCTTTCCCCATCACTTGCAAGCATGGAATCTCATTCTTTTCCAGAAAAATAATAACGTACACATCTTCATAGTGCCATTCTTTCTTTATTTCTCCTAGATATCTAAGAACTTCCTTCCGGCGGTAGACGGTTTAATCGTGTTGTTTACATTACTGTGCATGCATTTGGGTTCTCGTCGCTGAACATAGACGATACGTTTCCATTCCCGCGATGATTATAGTCATGGTACTCCTCGTTGTAGTAGTCCATCCGGCCATAGTCTGCGTACCTAGATGGCTGCGGCTGCGGTGGAGGCATATACCTTGGTTGCTGCCTCGGCGGCGATGGTGGTGCCGGTTGCGTCGATCGTACGTATTCGTACTCAGTCACGTACGGTGCTGGCCTGTACGTACTGTAGTTGTGGTGAGCCACGTACACTGGTGGAGGTGGAGGTGGAGGCGGAGGCTGAGGCTGATGAGGAGGTGGTGGCCTGGTGACGACGGGTGGATAACCCGGACCGTCGGGGTATCTGTCCCAGTGATGATAACCGGAAGTAGAACCAGAACTAGAAGGTGATCCGCCACCACTGTAGCCATTGTACCTGTAGCCGTAGTTCGGCGGTGGTGGTGGGTAGCGGTGGTAGTCCGACGGCGGGTGGTGGTAAATGACGTGAACCTCTTCGACGTCTTTCTGCCCACCCGCCGGTTGTGGTGGCTGCTGGCTTGATGAGTTTGGCTCTGGCTCTGGTGGTGGTGATTGTTTCTCTTCCGGTTGTTGATTCTCTGGTGGCTGCGGTGGTGGCGATGGTTCCTTCGGTGGCTCAGTTTGTTGGGGCGGGCCTTCTGCTTCCGGTGGAGGAGGGTCTGATTGGTTTGATTCGTCCGGCGGCTGCGATGATTCGCCGCCATCCAGTGGTTGTTCCTGTGGATCAGAGGGTGGTTCTGAATGGGAGCATATGATGGCCGTCTTCCTCGTCTTCCTAATCGCTTTAACGATCTTCTGAGGATCAGCCCAGCCGACGATCGTCAGCTTCTGCTGAGGGACGTCGATGTAGAGCTCGTAAATCCCTGAGTGAAACACAGCCATTGTTGATGAAGCGAAATCAGAATGCAGCTTGTCAATGAAACGAGAAGAGTGTCTAAATGAAGGCAGTTTTACTATATATACAAACCATTGACGCCATGAAGAGCCTTCTTGATCTTCTGAACGCAGCCATTGCAGTCCATCCGGACCTGTATCTCTGTAACTCTGGCCCTCTGCGGAAAGCGAAACAACAGAGGAGCGAGGAAACAGGGTTAGCATCAAGCAAAAATGGCGGATGTTCGTTAGGAATATCAATCAGCAGAAGAAATCATGGCTAATACCTCCAACTCTGGAGCCATCTGGGGTGAGATAGAAGAAGAGGGAAGAGAAGGGGAGGGATGAGATGAGAATCTATGGTGTAATTTATGGAGGGTAGTGAGAGATTGGGAGGGAATATAAGCTGGAGGGAAAAGGGTGTGGGACATGTAAGGAATCTCTTTTCTTTCTTTCTTCCTTTTTTTCTCAGAGAGGGAAAGAAAGGGAAAGAAAGGGAATGGAAGATAGGAAGAGAGTGGTTGGAAGGAAGATGAAGGCTTGTGTGCCCTTTGGGAGGGTCATTTTCAAAGGAGAGGGAAAGGCAGAGAGCCCAGAAAGGTGGCTAATTTGCTTTGGTTGGAAAGTTGGTATTTGATAGAAAGCTGTGGTTGGTTTTCTGTATGTTCGTTGTGACGTCTTCTAGCTAGCTGCTGTACATGTTGAGCCTTAAATGGAGCTTTCCCTTTCGAACTACACAGGGGGCTTTTTGATTTTGGCTTGTTGCATGGACGTGGATGTGCACTCTGGTTAGGAACTGTCGCCAACAAGGGTTCTTGTTCGCTTTAGTGATTAAATGGTTAATCTTTGATATGGAAGTCTCAAATTCGAATATCTTTAGTAGCATCTAAATTTAAAACTAAATTTATGTCACCCTTGTATATATTAAACAGAAGGAGATGCCAAAAGGATTAGTTAGTAGAGTACCTCCAGGGAGTAGAACCAAATACTTTCAGGTGAATTAGAGCCGTTATATCGAAAGGTTAGGTTATGATACTATTTTGGTATCGTTAGTATAATGGTGTTTCAGAAGAAAGTGATGATGACTCTAATTTCGTTCGAGTTAAATGCGATGTTATAGTTGCTATGTATATTTTTTTTTTGTGTGCCCCCCATCAAAGGCAGGAGTATAACTATGATCATCATTTTTTATTTGATAACCCAGGGAACCTCAGCCCCACGTGCCGCTAGAGCGACAGCGGGGCCTACTAAACCACTGGGGGTACCTGCATACTAACCGGGGCTTTCTGCTACCAACATCGGGGAGGCTTCGCCTCCGATACCAAGGATGCTGCTGGGAACGCTCAAGTGGCGCCACTGGAAATCGAACTCAGGAGCTCCCACATCCAGAACTCAATTGGTCCAGTGGTTTCACCACTAGGCTATATTACCTTTGGCATAACTATGATCATCATAATTAGAGCCGATGGATGCATATTGGTATCCAGGTTCCACCTAGGGTTTGAGCTCGACTAGCCAACCGACTCGTAGTAGTCTCGTCTCCCCAATTCCTTAGTGAAGTCTCAGGTGAAGGGCAGAGCCTCACCTTACAGTAGGGGAAGGTCTTTGTCGTTGGGATGGGTTCAAACTGGACTTAAGGGAGGAGAAGCTCCGTTTATGTTGCTCTAAAGTCGACGATTTCCTTTTTTTTTTTTTTTTTCCCCGACTGCTTTAGAGGGCTGCGAATTAAGGATCATCCCATCTAAGATCAATGCATTATTTACCATTTACCTTTGCTATTGCTATTCCCAGTCAGCCATGGGGCAATCTAAAACCGACCATATGCAAAAGAGAGCATAGATGAGGTTTTGATCATGGGTTTGGAAAGAGGCCAGAAAACTCAAAAAAGTTAACTTTCTGTGGAAAGTGTGCGTGGAAGGAATAAGTAAGGAGATCCCACTAAAAAAGAATCCTTTCATCGCCAAGGAAAGGCTTTGCCGTTATGGGCGTTGCCTATCGATGCAATACTAGATCATCATGACTTGGAAGCCATAAAAGAGTGATAGAGCCATCAGCTTTGGATTCCTTACTGCCTGGAAATTTATTAGTTCTAGCTAGGAGGAGTTGCTTATAGGTAAACCAACACCTCGAAAGATGGGCAATCGTACGACACAACGAAGATAATCCTCGACGCTATGACATGTGATCCGGAGTAATTCGTAAGGACGGTCAGTTTAAATAAGATGCCTTAGATACCAACTATATTTACGGTTAGAAAAGACTGATTGTCCTTTAGGGTTAGGACCAGGTTGACTAGCCAAAGTACCATCTCTGCACCAGGGTGTCAATCGGGCGGGTTCGGGCGGGTTCGGGTTGGGTTCATTCGGGTTGCGGGTTGGTCGGGTTGCAGGTTGATCGGGTTGCGGGTTTATCGGGTTGCGGGTTCATCGGGTTGCGGGTTGATCGGGTTGCGGGTCAATCGGGTTGCGGGCCAATCGGGTTACGGGTCAATCGGGTGCGGGTCAATCGGGTTGCGGGTCGGGCGGTTCGGGTTGCGGGTTTTACCACTACAAAAAAGAGGAGGTTTATGTAGGATTTTCGCTGCCATATTCCGATCTTAAGCAAACTATTAGGGTTTTAAATTATTTGGATGGGTTTGAATTGATATTTACAAAATCAAATTATATGAGTTAAGTGATTAAAATGATTAACTGAAAAAAATGTATAGCTTAATAGCTGTCAAGTTTAACTTTCCATTTATGGAGTGGCAAGCAAGCGGCAAGCAGGTAGATGACTAGATGGGAAGGTCAAAATTTAGGGTGCAAAAATTGAAAATTTAGGGTGCAAAAATTGAAAATGGCCGCCAATCCAAAAACTGAAAAGCTAAAAGGCCCGCCACTCCAAGAGACAAAAATGAGATTAGTGATTATCAATGGTTCCACCTTTAAATATAGGGTTGGTTTGGATGGATCAATCAAGAAATGAGTCAATTTGAATTATTTGCCCCCACCCCTAGCAAATAAATGAGGCAAATTGAAATTGACTCAAAACGAATCAATTCAAAATACCTCAGGCAGATTGATCCATCCAAATTTTTTGCAGGCAAATGAGGCAATTTGGAAAAAATGTTGTGAGTTCAATTGTAACTTTACTCGATAACATATAATCTAAACTCTAGATAATCTCTACCCTGAACCCCAAATGATTTTATTCATGGACATGTGTTAATAAATAACTTGATCCTTATTATTTACGATTTTGACTAATCTTGTTTAATACATTAACCCTAACCCATTACCCTAACCATATACCCTATACGTCGACTCTATATCATATACCCTAAACCCCTAATGGTTTGATTCATGAACATATATTAATAAGAAAAAATGATCTTATTAGTTATGATTTTGACTCATCGTGGCCAAACCATTAATACTTTATACTCTAACCATATACCCTACAAGTCGACTCTATAACCTATACCCTAAACCCCTACTGGTTTGATTCATGAACATATGTTAATAAGAAAACTTGATCTTATTAGTTATTATTTTGACTAATCGTGGCCAAACCATTAAGACCTTATACCCTAACCATATACTCTATAAGTCGACTCTATAACCTATAAGTTGATCTTTTTATTAATTTTTTGTTTTTATCATTGTTGACTAATGGAACGACAGCGTTTTTTTACAACTATAATTTTTGTTACTGTTGGACTCATTTAATGTTATTTTTCAATTCTCATACCGAAATTTTTTGGCTCCATAATCTCAAAATTTTGCCTCCAATTCATAAAATTTTGGCTCTTCAGTCTTCCCCATTGTGGATTCTGCCGCCAACTAAAAGTCCTAAATTTTTTGGCTCCATAATCTCAAACTTTTCAAGTGACCCGCCCGCCTTCATACTTTTGCCTTATCTTTTAGTTTATATTTTTATTTTAAAATTCTATGATAACTTTACCAAGCCCCAGCTTTCTGATTCCAGCTCGCGCTCTCGTTCCGTCTCCCGTTCGAGATCTCCCTCGCGGTCGAGGTCGATCTCCTCTTCTTCTCCGTCTCGCAGTGCCAGCTCCGGCAGCCGCAGTCCCCGTCCTCCACGAAAGAGGTAGCCGCAGTTTCTTCTCGCCCGTTCCTATTTCTGTCGCTAGCAGCCTAGCACTGAGTTCCTTTGAATTTCGCAGTTCCTCTACCTTGCACTGAGTTCCTTTAGAAGCATTCCCCTAATTCTACAACATCGTCTTAATTTTTTTAATGTTTTTGTTCACTTGCACAGCCCTGCCGAGGTAGCTAAACGAGGTCGCAGTCCGCCTGCACAAGTGAAGAAGGCATCTCCGCCACCAAGGTCAGTCTGCTTACCAGTGCTTCAACCGTGGATAGTTTCATTAGCATTTGCAAGCTTCCCTCGTTAATCATTATGCTGCGGGAGTCTGAGAATCCTTACTTGAGGCGGAATACAATTGTCCAAATTTCCAGTAGACATGACATTAGGACAATGTAATAGTTTTGAGTTTTCCTTCTGATGATATGTGATTTCGTAGGTTTTGTTTAATTAACCATTCTGTGAACGTGTTCTCTACCAATGGTTACTTGTTGGTATTAGGAGCCAGCAGTTAGGTACTCGTAGAGTCTCTCTGGTTAAGCTTTTCCCATAAAGGAAGATGTCTTTTTGAGAACCTGTTGGATGGCTCACGTTTCCAGTCTAATGCTCTATTACGCAATGACTCCTTTGTTGATTGATTCTGATGGAAGCTTACCTGGAGTTATTACTTTATTTCTTCCAGGAAAGCCTCTCCAGTTCGCGAGTCTCTTACTCTTCATGTTGATTCGCTGAGTAGGAATGTGCATGTAAATGCAGTTTTATTAATTGAAAGTATGGAAAACAGAGGGCAGCACTCGATGATATATATTTGTGAGATATTTGTTTCTCCAGTTTACTCATTAACATTTGATTTGTTGTTCACTTTGGTGAATTTGCAGACATGGAATCTAATAATGCGGGAAGTGGTGTTGGTAGTACTACTGGTTCTAGCCCTTCTTCACCCCCTAAAAAGAAGGCTAATTCTCGCCGCACATCGGAAGTGTGGGACGATGTAGAACTATTTAATGTCGTTGATGACGATGGAGTTCTTCTGGAGAAAGGAAAGTGCAACTTTTGTGGGAAGATATATAAGGCGGAGTCAAGGCTTGGCACATCTACTCTGAAGCGACATATTGCGGTATGTAAGAAACTCCACCAACCATCAGATTTAAGAAATGAGTCTACTGGTCCCAATTGCATAACTCAGGAAGGTTTTCGTGAGAAATTAGCTATATGCACAATTTCACATGATTATGTTTTTAGATGTGTTGAACATAAAGGAAATAGAGATGTGCATAGCTATTTGAATGGTCAGGCTAAACCTATTTCAAGGAATACACATAAATCTGACATTGTGAAGATCCATGAAAGAATGAAGGAGGAGTTAAAGTCTAGCTTGCAAAAGATTTCTAGTCGTATTTGTTTGACTAGTGATATGTGGACTTCATTGACAACTAGAGGATTTATATGCTTGACGGCTCATTATGTTGATGATGAATGGAAACTGAATAGCAAGCTATTGAGCTTTACTCATCTTCCTCCTCCACATTCCTCTTATAGAGTGAAGACGACCATTTATCGTATGCTCAGAGAGTGGGGTATTGATAACAAGATCTTCTCTATCACCTTGGATAATGCTAGCAATATGACTAACATGCAAAATGAATTACGTGATCAGTTGAATGGACAAAATGGATTGTTGTGTGATGGCAAGTTCTTTCATATACGTTGTTGTGGGCACATATTGAATCTTATTGTCCAAGCTGGATTGAAGGTGATAAAAGATGGTATTAGATCTGTGAGAGAAAGTGTAAAATATGTAGAAGGATCTGAAGGAAGGAAAATTAAGTTTAAGGAATGTGTTGAGCAAAGTGGGATGAAACAAACAAGGTCTTTGTGGTTGGATGTGCCAACAAGATGGAATTCAACTTATAATATGCTTGAGAGGGCAAATCATTATCGTCAAGCATTTGTAAACTTAGCAAGGATGGATTTCGAGTATAATGAATGTCCATCATCTGAAGATTGGGAGAAGATAGAAGTGCTTATAAAATTCTTGAAGCCTTTTGATGAAATCACAAAGTTATTCTCTGGAACTAAGTACCCGACTAGTAATCTGTTTTTTGAGAATGTTTGGAAGATTCATCTTGAGTTGAGGCTTCTTTGTACAAGTCTAGATGATGATATACGTGCTATGGCAAATGCAATGATGTTGAAATTCTTGAAGTATTGGAAAGACTACAACTTGGTGCTTGCTTTTGGGGTTATTTTGGACCCTCGTTATAAGGTTGCTTTTGTGAATTATTGCTATGAAAAGTTGGGTGGAGAATATGTTTCAAAAGTCGAGGATGTTGTGGATGATTTGGAGTTGCTTTTGGAAGAATATAAGAATCAATCGGCCACTTCAGCTACTCAAAGTGGTGTGTCTATGACTTCTCCAAGCGTTCCCTTGGACAATTACACTGCTGTAAGTATTTGTTTGTTGCTAACATTTATGAATTATGTTCTTGTGTTTTGGTCTTTGGTTAATTATTTGTTTTGTTTCATGTACATGCTAACTGTAAAGAAAATGATGAGCATGCTTATGTGTTAATATCAATGATATCTATATTTATTGTTTGTAGGGGTTTTATGCATCCAATATCAACCACAATACGTCAACTAGTTCTGAGTTGCAATTGTATTTGGCTGATCCTTTGATACCTGCATTTGGGGACATTGATGGAGTCTCTAAGCTACTTCCTTTTGATGTCTTGCAATATTGGAAGGACCATCAATTTCGATTTCCTCACCTCTCTAAAATGGCAAAGGATGTACTTTCTATTCCAATTACATCAGTTGCATCAGAGTCTTCTTTTAGTTTGGGAGGAAGAATATTAACAAAATGGAGAACTTCGATTTTGTCTGATACTCTTGAAGCTGTTGTGACAACTCGTAATTGGATACGAGGATACCAAATGGGTAAGAAAAAACAAATTGTTATATTTGTACTGAACAAACTATTCTCTTTTCCTTATTATATTCTTTTCACTGATTAATTGTACAGATGACGATGATGAAGATACGAGGGATGATGGAGAAGAAGTAAAGCTTCTAGAGTGATCGTCATTTGGAATGTCAATTTGTTTTTTGGACATGTTTTATTGATATTTGAGGTCTTGAGACAATATGAACTATTATGAGTCATGTATTCTTGTTATGATCAGACTTTTGTGAACTATTATTAGTCTTTTTTATGATAGGAGTTAAATTATAATTATCTTATTATGCTAAACTAATATTTTATAATCTTATGTGGACTATTAGGTTGATGATGTATCTAAATCAATATATTTGATGATGTTATATGGGTTATATACATTAATTATTAATGATGTAATGATCAGACTTTAGTGAACTAGGATTTCAAATGTCAACTTATAGTTTATCTTCATCGAATTCCTTCTATTATAGATGGGCCGCGGGTTGGTCGGGTTACGGGTTCGGGTTAGTCGGGTTGCGGGTTAATCGGGTTGCGGGTCGATCGGGTTGCGGGTTGGTCGGGTTACGGGTTCGGGTTAGTCGGGTTGCGGGTTAATCGGGTTGCGGGTCGATCGGGTTGCGGGTTGGCCGGGTTGCGGGTCGATCGGGTTGCGGGTCGATCGGGTTGCGGGTTGGTCGGGTTGCGGGTTGGTCGGGTTGCGGGTCGGGCGGGTTACGGGTCATTGACTTTTAGTCAAATCGGGTTGCGGGCGGGTTGCGGGTCGGGTTGATCGGGCGGGTTACTCGGGTCGGGTTACATTTTGACAGCTCTAGCACCAGCCAACTGTCCTTTTGGGCAGGCCAAGTGATATTTGGTCACTAAACTAATGCTAATCATATCTACAATTTGTTTATTTTGAAATGTTGGCAAAGATTAGCGTTGTGCCGATGTTCTTGACCACTTTAGCCACTGTGCAACTTGAGCCACCCACCCAAATTCGTCTAAAATGTCCACCTGCACTTCTTTTTTCTTTTCGTCTTTTATAAACCTGGGAGATTCCTCTTGCCTTTAGGAGCCTTCAACTCCCACTAACTACTAACTATGTGTGAATACAGAAATGTTATGATCATTACATATGAAATTGATTCATACCTAAATCGTTTGGTTTCTCTAATTGTTTTTAGTGATATTTTTACGTTGTTTACACTCTAAAGAATACATCGTTTTTAATTGTTTGCAAGATAAAATACATGTATTATTTGTTTGATGTGAGAGAAATAATCATTCAGAATGAGCGATTATGCAATCTCAGCTTGATATGGACACATTACGGGGTCGTTTGGTTTTGGTGATTGTTTGGTTGAAATAGTTACAATACATGTATTGTCCACAATGCATCGTTTTTCTGAATTTTATGGGGTAATGTCTATTTTTTATCCAAATCTTATTCAAATTCTTTTATATTATCCAATACTATTAAAATTCTATTAATTATCCAAATCTTTCATAATATATCAAAATATTAGCCATTTTTACGTTATCGTTAATAATTTTGTAACTCTTTTCTTAGTTAAAATACTAAAATTTTGGAATGTTGACCTTCATAAGTCTCTTATAAATCAGTATCATGTTGCTAAATCAATATTACTAACAAAATTACCAAATGGAAGTTAACACTTGACTAATTTTTAGTATTTCGATAGGTTTGGATAATATAAAAGAATCTGAAAAAGGTTTGGATAAAAAATAGACGGATTAATTGCATGGTTGGTCACTGAGATTACAAAAAACATTCAAGTTTGGTCACTCAAAATATTTAAATCCATTGGTGGTACTTCAGTTTACTGAAACCGTTCATGTTTGGTCACTCTCCGTCCAACTCCGTTAACTTTTGCTGATGTGGCAGTCAACTCTAAAAGTTGACAGTTAACTTAGTGACGTGGCAACTAAAAAATTATTAAAAAAAAATTAAATTTTATATTTTCCACCTCATTATTACATTCATTAAAAAATAAAAAATAAAAAATCTAATTTCTTTATTTTAGATAATGAGACTTGCTTCCCTGCTCTTCTTCATCGGCTGCGCCCCGCCACCTCCACCACTGCCGCTGCCGATTCCGATTGGCAGAACTTCAAGGACAGGCGCCGGCCAAAACCCTGATCAAACACCACAAACCCTTTCCAGATTTAGCACCGACAGCAGTGGATATATCATCCGGCAGCATCCAAGACGACGTCGATGATGTCGAAACATCAAAATCAAGGCTGATGGAGCTTCGGCGGCTCTGCCGTCGCTTTATATCTTTGAGATCCATACTCCTCACCGGGAACTTGGCCTCGCCTGTGGAGCTGCAAATTCTGGTCCCTCTAAAACCCTTTGTTGCAGATCTCGCATAGGAACCGGTTCGTTGCCATCAAGGTGATCTTGGGGGACAGAGATATCACTTCGGAATCTGGGTCTGCTCACAAAACCCCAAAAAACAAAGCTTGACCTCAAGATTTGACCCCATAAGCAAAAACAAAAGTGGAAATTAATTATTGGTAAATTTTTTTATTTTGTTACCTGGGTTGCCTGGCATGTTTCTCTTCTTCTTGGGAGGTGGCTGATTGGATGGTGGGATTTCTGGAGGTGGGTGGTAATTGTTTTGATCCACTCTTCCTCCGGAGGAGACACTTGCTTCTCCTGAAGCTGAAGTTGTGAGGTTGGACATGTTTTCTTGATCTTGTTGCTGCTGCTGCTGAAACATGAAGCTTTTCATCCTCAACATTCATGACACAGTAAGGGAAAGGGAGGGATAAAGATTTGAACTTTGCTTTTGGGTTGTGCAAAAAGTGAAGGATCTAAAGGCAGGAGAAGAGGCAGGATCAAAAAGCGACGGCAGAGCCGCCGGATCTCCATCAGCCTTGATTTTGATGTTTCGACATCATCGACGTCGTCTTCGATGCTGCCGGATGATAAATCCACCGCCGTCGGTACTAAATCTGGAAAGGGTTTGTGGTGTTTGATCAGGGTTTTGGCCGGCGCCTGTCGTTGAAGTTCTGCCAATCGGAATCGGCAGCGGCAGTGGTGGAGGTGGCGGGGCGCAGCCGATGAAGAAGAGCAGGGAAGCAAGTCTCATTTTCTAAAATAAAGAAATTAGGTTTTTTATTTTTTATTTTTTAATGAATGTAATAATGAGGTGAAAATATAAAATTTTATTTTTAATAATTTTTTAGTTGCCACGTCACTAAGTTAACGGTCAACTTTTAGAGTTGACTGCCACATCAGCAAAAGTTAACGCAGTTGGACGGAGAGTGACCAAATATGAACGGTTTCAGTAAACTGAAGTACCACCAATGGATTTAGATATTTCGAGTGACCAAACTTGAACGTTTTTTGTAATTTCAGTGACCAACCATGCAATTAACCCAAAAATAGACATTACCCAATTTTCTGCACAAACAATACATGCATTGTTTGCTTAATGTGACACAAACTATCACTCAAAATGAGTGACGGTAAAATCTCAAGTTTTGGGTGAGATTGTTGAGATTGTTGTGTTTTTTTTTCTTCCAATATTGTCCCTACCATTTTATGTGTCTTGATTTTTTATATTACAAACAAAGGGTAAAAGTGACATTTCACCCGAAAAGTAAGATAACTCATTTAAATAACACAATAACTATCACATAAATCAAACGATTGTAAACTACAATACACCGATTTTTTTTATATACATGTATATTATTATGCATGCATTGACGACAATGTATTATTTAGTTGAGATTGTTGTGATGGTCTGGGCGAGATTGTTTTTTCGTTCCAATTTAATCCTCTAAAAAGTAATTTTGCATTAAAAAGAGAGTGTTACTAGCGACATTTTAATTTAAAAATGTTTTTTAAATATTGAAAACACAATTACAAGTATCAAAGGTTGTAATCCACATTGCTTCAATTTTATCAACACATATATGATACATATATTGACGACAATAAATCAATTTAACAATTACCAAAAGAAAATCTATCCACTGTCATTCATGTAAGTGAAAGAAAATAAACTTGCAAACAAAAGAAAACACATCATAAGAATTACACATACTTAAAGCTTTGCGCTTCTCATTAACTAAGAAAAAAAAAATCAATATCTCTCACGATTTAGAATATCTCTGAACTAGAGTTAATAATAAAAAACTAAGAAAATGAAAACTTATAAAGAACACAAATGATGGAGTCCATAAAATTAGTTATAGAGATGTGGGTTCTCCAAGAGGTAGGATTCCACAACCCTAAAGATCCCCATGGCTTTCTCCCTCCCTTCCTCAATTTCTCCTTCTTCAATACCATACTCCCCCACAGCATTATAATGGCTAGTCACCACACAAGCACATCCTTCTCCATCGCCCTCAAACTTGACCTCATAAGAAATGGATTCGATTTTTTCACCTAGAGGTTCTCCCTCGATCATCGTGTACTTGCACAAGAGGTTCGCTTCATCGAGCTCGTCGATCCGATTCCTCACACATTTCATGTTAGCACCTGACGCAAACCACATGGTAAAGTTGAAGCACGCTCATCCCGTGCACGGATACAGTAAAAGATCGACAAAAATTCGCAGTAATACGTACCTGGAGTGAAATTGACTTGTTCTATAGTCCTCGGAGGATCCTCGTCATGGTCACGAATCACATCGATGCTAGCGATGAAATCTGGCAAGAGCTTTGGGATCAAGTTGCTCGAATCCAAGATCAGGGCTTTGAACATTCTTGAAGGAGGGATTGGTGAAGTGTAGCGTTTAGCGAAAGTAGTGATAATACCCATTTTTTTTTCAATGTTGAAGGTTGGACAGAATGAATGAATTGCTTTGCTTAGAGATCAAGGGGCTCCTCACATTTATATGATATATAATGAGATTTGGTTAGGTAAGGAATAGGGGTTTACTGGTTTTGGTTCCACAAAGATTCAAACTTTGAACTGAAATTTCAGGTCTCATTCAATGGTTCTTTGTTGTCTGCGACTGCAAGGCTGGTGTCAAAGGTTGAACAAAAAGGAAAACAGAATAAAAAAGTAAAATTATACACATATGGAAAAGGTTGAAAATACGTAAAAAAAAAAAAAAAAAGAAAAGGTTGAAAATACAAAATAGTGTGCGGTTTTGCACACGTGGGTGGGGCCATACTTTTGGGCTGGATCGAGGATTCGGAAAGTGGAAGGCCATGATATTTACGTAACTGGGCCCATTTGGAAATACGATCAAGATTTAATGGGCTTAGTTTCGGTTCCATATTTCCGTGTCCACTTCCCATGGTCTGATTCTTAAAGCATGGGTTGGCTCTAGGGATGGCAACAAAACCCGAATGCACGGGTATCCACCCGACCCAACCCGGTCAACGCGGGTAAAACCCATGTTGACGGGTTTTGGGCCGGGTTCGAGTTTAAACCCGTTACACTATTCACCGGGTCGGGTTGGGTTTGGGTTTAGGTAAACCCGCCCCATGGGGTACCCGCCCACACATATATAATTATTTTCTCTGTATATTTAATATTCTAAATAATATATCTTTCTTATATAACTAATATTCTTTATGTTTTGTGGAAACAAGTATAATTTGTTCTTTCTAATTGTTTAGAATTAAGTTGATATTATGAAGTGGAGAGAAGAAACTTAGTTGACGAGGAAGAAACTTTCAATTAATCTTATTGTTTATAGATGTGTATCTTTAATTTTGAACAATTTGTATTGATCATTTGCGGTTTGCTTGTATGCTTTAGATTGGTGTTTTTTGAGTGATTAATTTCTATGAGAAAATTGATGTTAAACTTTTATTTTGAAAGAAACTTGTTATTGTAAATTTTTTACCGCAAAAACCCACGGGTACCCATGAACCCGCGGATACCCAGTGGGTTGGGTTGGATTTGAGTTTTTCAAACCCAACGGGTTTTACCCCGGGTTTTTTTGGCGGATAAACCCATGGGTTTGGGTTTGACAAAACCCGCCCCAACCCGACCCATTGCCATCCCTAGCTCTGGGCCTTGGGAAGTTCCAGATTGAACAGTTCCGTAATTTGTATGCAATTACGATGTGTTTGGCCGTGGTTAGATTTCGAGACACAAACTTTTGCATGTAAGAAATTGATGTAATCTCAAACACTTAGAATTTACGAGTAATTGAAAGCTCATTCAATAAAACTGGAGCTCACATGTATTTATTTTCATATTTATAAAACAATTTTTCATGGGAAAGGATAGGCTACGAAACCCATCATCCATTTTTTATTCCATTCACTATCTACCGTATATATTGATAACTAGCGTGGCCCCGGCCATTTGGATGGAGGAAGTTGAGGTATGAAATTTGATAATGTAATTGGGTGTATAGTTTATTGTTGTATAGTTTTTTTTTTTGAAACACGTGATAAAAATAGGGAATTTTAGTAGGAAAAAGACATGAATTATGCAACGAATCAAAAATCAGCCTTATGAACCAAAATCAAGTACCTGTTACCTTGTGAAATAATATTGTTTCTGGTAATATGATGAGGTAAAGAGTTTTATAGAAACCGAATTCCAGAAAATCGAATAAAAAATCGTCTTATCCCGCCGGTTTTCGAGAAATGAGCATCTCACAATCGTTGCTAGCTTTTACTCGGCCCATTGTCCGATTAATTTGCTTTATAAAACTTTCATCTTATCATCATTGTGCTTTCTGGTTTTTTGCCAAGCCATTATAAAATCTAAAGAAATCAAGAATGAACAACACGATTTGGGATAGGAACCACCGTTCCTGTATCCCTAGGAAATGGTGGTAAACACGGACTCACCTGCCAAACTGGTTTGGATTGAGATTTTTATCGGGTATCAGGGAACCATGTGATTATAAATTAGACTTGATCAAAACGGGCCAAAACTTGAAATTCAGCCTGTTTGACGGACCCATGCCAAACTCTAATTATTCTTTACTTTTAAACTTTCTATTTGAAAATAAAATATAATGAAAGAAAAGAGATGACTGCAATTCACCATTTGCACATCACTCATTCAGGAATAAAACTATAGAATTTTGAAAGGAAACCGAAAATGTTTAGGATCGTTTTAATGTTAAAAATAACCAAATAAATCTTTATGTTTAGTTTTTTACTAACAAATACCAAACGATTCCCTATAATATACACTATAATTTAATCATTATGATATCAAATAATTACATAATATATATTTGAATGATAAAAATTGGACTAATTAGGTTGGTCGAGGTTGAACCATTGAATAACTTTAAAATACATTATATTTTAGCAACTAAGATATAAAATAATAGCATAATATATATTATGTTATGCTAGAGAAAATAGCTTGTTTTAGAATGACAAACCCATGATGTTCATTTGTTTTACTTGATAGGCAAATCTAGTGTAGGTCAGGCCCATTCAATTCTTTTATTTTATGATAGCGGTTAGCCCATTAGAATCCATGCATTAGTTAATTGTTAAATTATTTTCTTTTTAGCAATAAAAAGGAGTATTGTTTTTGCCTTTTCATATATATTTACCACCACGGAGAAATAAAAGGACTTAATGAAAAAAATTGACACTCCTAGACCCGTTTAAATCCGCATGTGTACGGTAAGTTGGCCCGTTCCACAGAGAAAAAAGAAAAAAATTGACACTCCCTATTCTACCTTTCCTACAAACGCTCCTCGAGCAGGGAATTTGAAATGGGGGAAGGGTTTTTTCCTCTCTGCGATTATATGTTTTTAATTTAAAAAGATACAACAAATGTACTTAGTGTGATTGGTTATGGTCTTTGTTTTTCTTTAAAGTGGTCATGGTTCGAATCCTAGTAAGTGTCTTTTTAATGAATACAAAAAAGTAATTGTGAAGACCAAAATGTCCTTTCTACTTTCACTCTGGTTGCAGGAAATTTGAAACGAGGCTTCAAGTTTTCTCATTTGGCTTTTATTTATTGTGTAGATATCATGATACGATATTAATAAATTATTTTTTCAAATGTTAGACCTCATAGTAATAGGGATGACATTTTGCACGGAAGGTCCGGGTACCCGCCCAAAACCCGCTCTTGTACTACACAAAATACCCGTCCGAGTCGGGTTAACGACGGATCCAGGCTTGCACGATACCTGACATCAGCGAAGCACGAGTGGTGAAGGATTCTGGGATATCCTCCCCGTCCCCGCCTCATCCTAGAAACGATGTCGTTTTGAGCAGTGGTATATAACGATTGCTGGAGACTGAAACCCTAGCTCTGCACTTTTACTCTCTTTCTCTGCTTCAAATAATTCTCTCTTATAAATTAACCACATCGATTGATTGCAGGGGTCACTGGAGTCTGGAAAGTTTCAGTGCTTCCGTTCTTCTGCATTATGCACAAAGCACAGTCAAGGTAAAAAACACTCGAATTTCATTTTTACGAATAAATTAGCTTGATTAGTAGATCTTCATCAGTCTATGGAGTCTAATTAATACACATTTGTTTGGTTGTTTGTTGGAGATCATCATGTCGCATCATCGGGCCTCGGTTTACCATATGCATTCTGGAATACAGAGCCTCCTTCTCCAGTTCTCTAGATTAAAGGTTAGCGTAGCTAAACTCCACTGCATGTGTTAGGTCTTAGTGGTTAGGGTTTGATGTTTGTGAGTGTTCTCTGTCTGTATCTGATTAGTGATTAAATAGTGTTATCTTCTTCATGTCAGATGGACAACCCAAATGATGCTGTGAATCTGAATGCTTCCCCTGTGCCTGGTAATCAAAACAACCAACCTGAAAATGATGGTTCTGATGGTAATGGTAATCTGGGTAATGGCAATAATGTCTTGGCTAATGGAAATGAAACTGGTGAAGTAATTCTTGAGCCAATTGACGTATGATGTCTAATGAAGGTAAAAAAATTGACGTATGATGTCTGACCTCATTTCATTAGAGTTAAGTTGAATGGAGTTAAATTGACCTAATTAATTAATACGCATACTTAACCGATCGATCGATAATCCAATTTTTGACGAAATACTATCAAAACGCTCGATTTTAAATCGTGAACTTTCTAGCGATCGAAATATGGATTTTTTTCCGGAACGGGATGTAACAATTCTCCCCTCCTTAAAAGATTTCGTCCACGAAATCTAACCTTGAGTCGTACTCCAACTCCTCTTACTTACCCTTAACATGGTCTATCATAGATAAACCATTACCTAACTCTTAGAATAGGCGATTCATAACATAGAAAATAACACATAACACCTCAAGTTCCCATGTTTAGGTTTCAAAAACCTATACTGGGCTATCACAACAAAAGCACATCAACAAGCTGAAAACATAACTTATTAGGCAAGATTGTTAACCTGCAAAGTAGGTTGCTACTAACTCAGGGTACTTCTCTCGCATACTTGCTTCAGTTTCCCAGGTGGCACTCTCACTTTCTTGATTTCTCCAAACCACTTTCAACATTGGGATTTCCTTCCTACGAAGATTCTTAATCTGAAAATCAACAATCTCAACTGGAACCTCCTCAAAAGTCAAATCTGAACCCAACTCGATCTCTTCTGGTTGTATAACATGGGAAGGATCCACTTTGTACCTCTTCAGCATACTAACATGAAATACATTGTGGATTTGGGATAGTTCTGGAGGCAATGCTAACTTATAAGCCACTGGTCCAATCTTCTCTGTGATTTCATATGGCCCAATATATCGAGGTGCAAGCTTTCCTTTTTTACCAAATCTCATCACCCCTTTCCATGGTGACACTTTAAGAAATACTTTCTCACCCACTTCGAAATTAACTTCACGCCTATTCGTGTCAACATAAACTTTCTGTCGATCTTGAGCCACCCTCAACCGCTCCCTGATTTCCTTGACCTT